CTTATTGGTAATTTGGGCTACGTCGGCGATGTCTACGGAGCTCCGGCGAACGGCTCCGGCTCTTGTTACGCGACTCCGATGATGAGCTCTCCACCGTTGGATGCATTTTCCGGCGACTCGAGATTTGCGGAGAGGGCTGCGAGGTTCTCGTGTTTGGGAAGCCGTAGTTTTAACGGTAGAACCAACGGACTTGTTGCTGAAACAGTGTCGATCAACGGGGAGCTGACACGTGTCTCGAGCACCTCAGGTATCAAGCCTCCCGCCGGCGAATCTTCCGGTGAATCTTCCCGGAAAAGAAAAGCTAAATCCAAGGAGAATTCTCCTTCTAAAGCTTCCCAATCTCCTAATTTATCAAAGGTTCATAATTTATATAACATATGAAAACACATAATCAGAATGTTGTCAAAATGTTAAATTTTTTTATTTAAATGCTAATTAAAAAAAATATATGTTTTCAGGAAGTTGAAGAGAAGGAAGATTCTTATACAAAGAGAAGTAGAAAATCAGAGGAAAATGGAGAGAAAACGAAGTCTCTTGATCCATACAAAGACTTCATCCATGTCAGAGCTAGACGAGGCCAAGCCACTGATAGTCACAGTCTAGCCGAACGAGTCAGTAAAAATTATATACTTTTATTTTACTGAAATGATCATGTTCATTGATCTGCTTTTTAGTTATAGTTATGTCCTGATTAGTTTGATTATATGTTGTTACTCCATTTAGGTTCGAAGGGAGAAGATAAGCGAGAGAATGAAGCTGCTTCAAGATCTTGTCCCTGGTTGCAACAAGGTGAGAGTAATTTTCATTGATTGGTTTATTTGATTAATCACTAGTTAATTTGTTTTAGTCGTGGTAATGTAGTTGTTTAAATAAATTAATTGTTTTTATATAAAAAAGGTTACTGGGAAAGCACTAATGTTGGATGAAATTATAAACTATGTCCAATCATTACAACGACAGGTTGAGGTAATTCCACTAGATCATTGGTCCGCTTTAAACTCTTTCCATTATTTCATAATCACTTTTTTATATCACTACACGATTACTACAACTTTTCTTTAATCTTTTTTATTTAATTGGTTTTATTAAATGGCAGTTCTTGTCGATGAAGTTATCGTCAGTGAACACCAGGCTGGACTTTAACATGGACGCTCTTATGTCAAAGGATGTAAGTCACCGTCATAAATTAAATAACGTTGATAAATAAATTATAATTGACAATTATTAATAACAATAATTACTTTGTTAACAAATCGTGTGTGTGTCTATATTGTTCTGTTGTCTGACAGATATTTCCTTCATGCAACAATCAGCAAGTACTTCAGTTAGAATCTTCATCCGAAATCTTATTGGCTGGTCATCATAGTCATACTTTACAGTTGAACCCAAATGATTCTTCCAATAACATAATGAACCCTATGGAAACTTCTGAAAGTAGAAGCTTCAATTCTCAGTTACCAACACTTACCCATTTCACAGACTCTATTTCTCAGGTCTTTAAGTCCTTATGACATTTTTGTATAACACACCTGAGAATCCTCATTTTTCATTTGCAACAATCATAATCCTTTTTTTTATTTTATTTTCAGTTTTCAACATTTTCTGAAGATGATTTACATAGCATTATTCATATGGGGTTTGCGCAAAACCATATCCGTGAACGGAACCAAGTTCATTCAACTAGTTTTCAAGGTTGGATAGTTAACTAACATATTATTTATGAAAGCCTATAATTTTGAGACGTGGAGTTATGTATTATGCAGGTCCATCAAACCAAGTACCATCACACATGAAAGCAGAACTTTGATCAACCATTATTTGCATTTACATAAATTGTATTGGAGATTCGGTTAAAGGAGGTCTCAAGGATATAAAGTAAGAAAAGGATTGATGGGTGTACATAACAAGAAGCTTGAATTGGACCACACCATTTAAGAATTCGTTTCTGTAATCATCTTCATGTATATCAAACAACATTTCTTTCTATCTTCTTTTTTTGTGTGCCCTTGTTTTGGTTTTATGCTCCGGTTCTCATTCGTGGGGCTCAATTGTCTTGTCACCCACTGTTATTATTATCGCATTCTTTATGCTTTTTTCCATGTTTCGGTTTACTATCATTGTAAGTCTTAACCCCACTATACTATGTCTATAATTTAATCTATTAATTTCCATCTCAAGAACATGTTCATTGGTAGAACTCCAATGGGTATAGATGAGAGTTTGTCATGAGAATTCTTCATTTGAAATATTTTGAGAAATTCATGAAACAACTCTTAAACATATCTCTATTACTGATAATAATATTCTTTTTACATATATCTACATATTTATTAACTTAAGAAGTTAATTAAATAATAAAATTGTAAGAAAATTAATGTTTTGTTTAAATATCTTAGTGTTGCTCTAACTAATCTTCTAGTTCTTTATTTAATGTTCATTGGTCTAAGATCTAAAATAAAAGTTACTGTTTGGTATACAGGTTTTAACATTAAAACCAAAAAGTTGCTATTAAATTTTATTTCTTTCTTTTCAGCCCGAAGTACATATAGCGTGACACCTATATTTGTACATAATTATGTGTAATTTCCTCAAGTGTATTAATGATTTATTTCAAACGATTAACATGTAGTACTATATAGGTAGCCTATTCATGACTAATAAAGCAACATCAATAAGTTTGATTTTTATATATTACGCAACCTCGTCAATGTCAAATTAATTGTTAGATCGCGTTATTTGAAAATCTTGATTTGATCGTTGCTAGTGTTTACCAGCTGTGTAAGGTGTTCTGTCATTTTCTACGTTGTGTTTGTGGCAAGTTCTTCAAAGGAAAAGACACATTAAAAAGTCTAATATGAGTGGTTATGAGCTAAAAAGCCAGTTTTGATTAAATAGAGCTTTTATATAGTGGGATTACGCCGTGATTTCTGGAAGTTATGTGGAACCAATTGTAATTTTAATAGATTCTTCATAGAACGTCACTTTCTATTCACCTACTATAGAAACCAGAACCTTCAACAACAAAGTGTTCAAGCAAAAAACGACTAATCAGTAACCTAGTCTTTTAAATTTGATGATCAATGTTTGGCATACTCGTATGAAATGATGCTAACACGCAAACCGTATGTTCGGACGAAGCAGAAGTTACGATCACATACGTATATATATAACCATATCTCAAAAGTTTTTGACATTTTGTCTTATCTGTTGCAGGACCTGAATATTGCCCAAGTTATAACTCTTCTCGAGAATTCAACAGAATGGGGTACAATTAATCCTTCAAAGGCCCATCTTAGAAACCATAAATCTAACGTGGGCTACTACTAAAACTTCTTAGGATGTAGATTTGTTAGTGGCATGTTTTAGGGGGTACATTTTGCAGCCCAAATAAATCAACTAGCAAACTTCGATCCACCACAAAGGATTCAAATTTGGGGCTTTATATAGTCTCTCAAAGTTTCATCACACATATTAAAGATATGTTAAATTCGAGAACCCAAAAAAGTATGCTAAGTTCTCTACCTTTCATAAACATACAGTACAATGAACAAACATACACGTACACAGAACTGAGGATACTATAATTAGATTTCCTAAAAGATAAGAGATTGAACCATGAAACCACCCATGTTAGAGATCTACTGCGACATAGAAAGTATCTAACAAAGAATAAATCTCAGAGAAAGAAAAAAAGACAAAAGTACAAAAGGAAGAAGATAAAGAGAGAATCTATGAGAGGGAGGGGCACTATAATGTCGTTTTGGTTTCTAATAACTTTGATTGAGATTTGGATCAGTGTCTAGTATCCTATTCGTAGTCATATTCACATATCCAATATAAGTAGATTGCTATATCATACCCATTGAGGTTTTGGTTAACCAGATCTGAAATGTGCTGACTGTATCAATGATTTTTCTTATTGTCATTATTATTATAGGGGGTGATTGGTTGAACGGTAGATTTAAAAATTTTACTGTAGAATTTAGACAGTAGATATTTTTGATGTAGTTGTATCTAATGTAGCTGTAGAAATTTAATGAAAAAAAAAATATAAAAGCAAAGATATTCCTACAACAATACTACAACAATATTTTTTGACTTTAGAAAATAGGGTTCCCTACAACCACTTTTCCATTTTTTTTGACTTTAGCTTTAAAAACTATTTAAAGCATGATTGATGATTTAAATGGTTGTAGACAGAAATTAAAGCTAAAGTCATTACTTACAACCCAACCAATCACCCTTGTACAATGAGATCTAGAGCATAATGTCACGTCACATCGTTAAAGCAAGAGAACGTTACTTTTTCGTTTTTCTCAACTTTTACTTCTTTATTACAAGACGACCGTTGAGATTTGTCTAGAATTAAGACACCAATTAACATAGTCTTGTCGTTGTATGAGTATATTTATACATTCATAAACTTTTCTCTCCAAACAATCGCCAACTTCTTTTTATATTTTTTCAACAGTACTATTACTATTACTTACTAGAGGATTAATACATTTTATAACGAACAATGAGATTTAAATGATTCTAAAATCATTTGATAATAGTTCTTCATTACCCATCTGGCTAGTTACCCAAGTAGCATTAAAATATGAGCTACACTGAAAAACCAAACCATGAATTTGATAATAGTTCTTCATTACCCATTGGCTAGTTACTCAAGTAGCATTAAAATATAAGCTACACTAAAAAAAACAAACCAAAACATTAGTAGTAGTAAAACACGGAATGGTAAATGTACACTTGGGTAAAAAACAATGTTCTAAGTTACATGTACCACTTATATCAATCACTAAGACGAAAAGTAAGTATTTACCGTACTACACCTGATGTTGAAAAATTGATCATGCGTCATGTAAATACAGTAGCTACAACAACTAAAGGAGCTACAAGTCTTATTTTTAATGTAAACGATTTTTATATAACACATTGTATTTAATTAATACACTAGCATTGTAAGTACTATCTTATTTAATACTCAACCCAGTTGGGGAACACGTAAACATTAGCCATTAAATATCTCTCCACTCTTCTCTTCCCTTGTACGTTCCTACCACAAACTCATATCTTCTCCACAGCCAAAGAAGAAAAAGAACACAGCTAACACCATGAGTGTTCTACATCTTCTCACTCTCTCCCTTCTCATCTCTGTTTCAGGTAATAACCAAACCACCTCTCACTACTTACACTAACGGCGACTCACCTCATTCATAATGTTAATTCTTTTCCCTCACAGGAGCAAAGTTCTCAGGCCGACCAGGAGTGAACTACGGCCAACTCGGAAACAACCTCCCGTCACCGTCCGAATCAGTCACCCTCATCAAATCCCTAAACGCCAAAAGCGTCAAACTCTACGACGCGAACCCATCAATCCTCGCCGCCCTAAACGCCACCGACATAGTCGTCTCCGTCATGGTCCCAAACGAGCTAATCGTCAACATAACCAAATCAAAAACCCTCTCCGACGACTGGATCCGATCCAACATCCTCCCGTTCTACCCTTCCACCAAGATCCGTTACCTCCTCGTCGGCAACGAGATCCTCTCCTCCCAAGACTCCTCCCTCAAATCCTCCCTCGTCCCCGCAATGCGCAAGATCCAACGCTCATTAAAAAAACTCGGAGTCAAAAAAGTCAAAGTGGGGACCACACTCGCAATGGACGTTCTCAAAACATCGTACCCTCCTTCCAGCGGTGAGTTTCGTTCCGACATCTCCAGTTCTGTAATGAAACCGATGCTACAATTCCTAAACCGGACCAAATCTTTTTTATTCGTCGACGTCTACCCGTATTTCCCCTGGGCCCAAGATCCGGCCCATGTAAACCTCGATTACGCGCTTTTCGAATCTAAAACCGTAACCGTCGTGGACCCCGCCACGAACCTCACTTACCACAACCTCTTCGACCAGATGATCGACTCCTTCGTCTTCGCCATGAAAAAACTCGGGTACCCGGATCTCCGGATCTGGGTCGCGGAAACGGGTTGGCCCAATAACGGAGACTACGACCAAATCGGAGCCAACATCCACAACGCCGCCACTTACAACCGCAACGTCGTCAAGAAACTAACCGCCGACCCGCCCGTTGGTACTCCGACCCGACCCGGGAAGATTCTCCCGGCGTTTATCTTCGCGCTTTACAACGAGAATCAGAAAACGGGGCCGGGTACGGAGCGGCATTTCGGGCTCTTGCATCCGAACGGGAGTAAGGTTTACGAGATTGAGTTGTCCGGGAAGACGACGGAGTATGAGGAGGCTTTGCCGGCGCCGGAGAATAATGAGGCTTATAAAGGGAAGATATGGTGCGTTGTGGCGAAAGGAGCGAATTGGACTCAGCTTGGGGATGCGTTGTCGTACGCTTGCTCGCAGGGGAATAAGACTTGTGACGCGATTAAACCGGGGGGTGAATGTCATAAACCGGATTTGATGGTTTTTCACGCGAGTTATGCGTTTAGCTCTTATTGGGCTAGCTTTCGGAAGACTGGTGGGACTTGTTACTTTAATGGGCTTGCTACTCAGACCATTAAAGATCCAGGTGAGTTAGTGTTAAATTAGTTTTCGGTTATGTTTAAACCGGGTTTTGTTGAATTTGTTTTTGAACTCGTTTGTTGTTTGATATTAGGCTATGGACGATGCGAGTTTCCGAGTGTGACATTGTGACGACTTAAGAGTTACGACAGTGTTGTGAAGAGAGAGACGTACGAGGAAAGACCGCAAGAAGTTACGGCTTTATTAGTAGACCCGGCACGTGAAACCGGCTAGATGTGATTGCTTGATTACTAGAAAATTTATGATGTTTATTTAATTTGTTCTCCCTCGGATGATAAAAGATCATTAGTAATAAATTCGTTTTCGTAACGTGATGATTCTCTAAAGAATACGATACCATAAGTTTTTTCACTTTGCAATAAAAAGTCAATCCGTGAACTTTAAAGTCTTTGCTTTTCACTTTTATACGAAGTAGAAAGGGCTGTATTTGTACGTGACTAATCTAACTTTGAAGAAAGTAAATTAAATACGAAAGTAATCTAGCACGTGATACCTCAAGATGTTATTGGTTGATTACTAGAAACTGCAGGGTGTTGTTTATTTAATTTGATCCCCCTTGAATAATATAAACTGGATGTTGTTTGTTTAATTATTCCCCCTTGAATAACAAAAACTCATGAGTAATAAATTGGTTTTGTCTTGTAATATGATGATTCTCTAAAGAATATGATACCATAACTCTTTTTCACTTTGCAATAAAAAGTCAACTCATGAGCTTTTAAGTATTTGCTTTTCACTTTATACAAAGTTGAAAGGGCAGTATTTGTACGTAACTAATCTAACTTTGAAGAAAGTAAATTAAATACGAACGAATAGTATGACAATACAGATATTGAACGCCAGATCAACTCCAACGTCTTTTATTTTTTTTCAAATCCAAGCTCTATATTAAACATTGGGCTTATTTGCCAAAACATAGCCTCAGTCACTGTCTTCTATTAACATATTTGAATCCAACTTTTCTAGGAATGGGTGAAACTCTATCGCAGGTTGTGGACCCAAGTGACAACAGACGTCAGAGTGTGACGCTCAGACAAATAATGCACTCAGCTATGACAGGAGCACCACTTATCTTATCAATTTTTTTTGCAGGCTTATCTTATCAATTAATAATTCAATATCACGATTCAAGAGCCATCTCTCATTCAATACGCTGCTTTTACTTAGGAGATAATTATAAAGATAGTATATTTTCAGAAAGCGGATTTCAATGTCTTTGTCTTGAAGAAAAAACGGAAATAACATGTGTACATATGCAAATGTTACGGGCCAGACGTTAAATCAAAACTAAAATAACTTAATTCTAGGGAAACGACTAATGTTTACAACAATAACGAGTTGTATCACAGTTCCAGTCTACAAGTCGAATACAAAATTTGCTTATTTATTTCTTACTCAAAGGCCGTTTTTCAAGTGAAATTGAGGTGATGATTGTAAACTTAACTAGTACTAATGTACTAAAAAAAATCAAATACTAATAACTATCTTGATGATTGTGGTTAAGAAATGGGATATGTTTTATAAACGGCTTTAGACAACACTAAGAGGTCCAACCACGTAATCAAAAGACCAAAAAACTGACGGGCCATCTTAAAACTGTTTTATATCATTGTCAATAATTGAGATTAGGTGCCAATCTACACCAGAAGACCACTATAACATTATAATCTATGGGATTAAATAAATAAAATATAAAATATCAAAACCACCTAACCATCATGAGTATGAAATGCGAAGGACTAGGAATCTCGAAGTTTCCACTTGTTATTTTATACACTACTATCAGAGTATGAGGCAAGTGGATCAATCAGTGAGATGCATGCAGTCAAATAAAAGGATAAACTCGAGAATAAAATTTAAAAGTATAAATCGAGAGTAATTACTTAACAGCCAATGACATGCCGACACTTGTCAAGTTGGAGATAAGAGAATAGAAACCAAGCAAGCACCGTGGAGTCGTGACCGACTTATCAAAGGAGCCCACAGAAAAAAAAAAGAGAATCAGTTTATTTTGAAAATTACAAATAGAGAAGAATATTAGAAAAAAGATACTCTCAGGGTCTGCCTTATCCAAAAACACGCCACTTTCTCCCACTAATCCGCTGAAAATCAGTCTTCTTTCTCTCATTCACAATCCGTTACAAAGTGTTTTCTAGGGTTTTACTTCCAAATGGATAGTTGTCTTTCGAACCACGCGGCGCTCTCTTTTCTCCCGTCGCGTCTGAGGAGACAGAGCGGCGATGGAGGTGGCGGAGTCGGAGGATTTTGTCTCCCGGCGATGAGGAAGTTACAGTATAGATCGATGGTTGTGGTTGCGACGGCGGGACAGAGCAGGTGTGAGCCTGGAAGCAGTCTCAACGCGCCGCTTGAGCTGCGATCGGCGCAGGGGAGGTTTCTGAGAAGCGTGTTGCTTAATAAGAGGCAGTTGTTTCATTACGCTGCTGCTGATGAGCTTAAGCAACTCGCTGAGGAGCGTGAAGGGGCTTTAGCTCGTATGGCTCTTAGCTCTGGTTCTGATGAAGCTTCTCTCCACAGGTTTTCGACACGCAAGCTTGTACACTCTGATTATGAGTTCTCTGGATTATTTGCGTTTGATTACTGAATATTTTGTGTTTGATTTAATTCTGTTGGTATGGAACAAGAGACTCATACGGCTATTATATTGTTTAGTGCTTTTTCATACTCTGCCTTGTGAAGCAAGTTTTGTTTTAGGGTTCGATTGGGCTGGTTTGCTTATCTTTACTATTATATTGTTTGGTGCTTTTTGATACACTCTGCCTTGTGTACCAAGTTTTGTTTTAGGGTTCGATTGGGCTGGTTTGCTTATCTTTACTATTATATTGTTTGGTGCTTTTTGATACACTCTGCCTTGTGTACCAAGTTTTGTTTTAGGGTTCGTTCGGGCTTGTTTGCTTATATTAACTTCTCTTGTGATAATATTCATGGACTTGATAATTTCATTTATCGTTAATTTGCTTCTTAAGCCAGATTAACACTGTTTTATCTGCTCTGTCTCCACTTATTGTTGTAGCACTTTGTTAAGCTTAGTTTGCATGTTAGACCATCTTAAACTCTGTTTTTATGGGTTTTGTTACTCTTTTACTAACCCTAATTACCTGATTTTTATGGTTGGCAGAAGGATAGCTCATCTCAAGGAACGTTACTGCAAAACAGCAGTCCAAGACATTATGTACATGTTAATATTCTACAAATACTCCGAGATACGAGTCCCACTCGCTCCAAAGCTCTCTAGATGCATCTACAACGGAAGACTCGAGATCTGGCCTACTAAAGACTGGGAGCTAGAGTCAATCCACACCTGCGACGCCCTCGAACTCATCAAAGAACACGTCAGCGCAGTCATCGGGTTACGTGTCAACGCATGCGTGACTGACAACTGGGCAACAACGCAGATACAGAAGCTTCACCTCAGGAAGGTTTACGATGCCTCCATCTTGTACGGTTACTTCTTGAAATCAGCTTCCCTGAGGCACCAGCTCGAGTGTTCTTTATCAGATGTTCATGGAAGTGGGTATCTGAAAGGTCCTGTGTTTGGATCTTCTTTCACGAAGGGCACTTCACAGATCTCCACCAAGGAGGAGCTGAGGCATTACATCACGGGGTTTGATCCCGAGACGTTGCGGAGGTGTGCGAGGCCAAGGACGGAGGAAGCGAGGAATCTGATAGAGAAGCAGAGTTTGGCTCTTTTTGGCGCGGAGGAAAGTGATGAGACGATTGTGACGTCGTATTCGAGCTTGAAGCGGTTGGTTTTGGAAGCTGTGGCGTTTGGGACGTTTCTTTGGGACACGGAGTTGTATGTAGATGGGACGTATAAGCTCAAGGAGAATGGTAATGCAGAAGAGCAAGAAAATAAAAGCGTATGAACCAGCTTCATGATCCTTGAGTGTGTAGTGTGTATATAGAGAAGAAGTTTTTGCTGAATCTGTCAGGCAATTATTTCTTGTATAGCCTTTTGCTTAGTTTGAACTTGTTTCTACGGTCGAATAAGAATGTGGTCCTTATAAAGAAATAAGGAATGTTAAATTTCATCGGTTTTGTTGTTATAATTTTCATAACTGCAAAAAACAAAACAAAATTCGAACAAACCGTGAAGATAAAATTTGAATTATAAAAAATAATTAAATCATCCCAGAGATTTAAATTGGGGACATTTCAATTTAAATACCCCAATTTTTATTTCTTCCCAAAGAATCAGTATACTAAATTTTTAGCAGCTTGATGAAATTTTAGTAGGTTGATAACTATAAAATATAAATTGGATTTTGATCAATTTTTACAATAGAAAGATATTTTTTTAAAAAATGGATCATCAATTTCATGATTATTGAAGGTAATTGCATTTAAGATTTTATAGTTCAGATTCCGAATATTTTTTTTTAATTTATATTTTATCTACTGCATTGGATTTTATTTTTAAATTTTGCTTTACATTTTTTTATAATGTTATTCTTTATATAAATAAAATAGTCAAAAGAAAATCTTTTTTTCTTTGGCACAAAAAGAAAATCAAACAATAAGTTCTTCTAGAAGATTGTAATTTCATCGAGTCTTTATTGAGCTTTCATCTTCAAAGCCCAAAAAGGCCCAAATCTTTAGACCTATCAAACTCCCCATTTTCTCACTAGAGTGAATGAGTTGTAAAACAAACTGGTCATCTTTTTCAATTCCGTTTCTCTCTCGCCGGAATATTCTCTCTACTTTCAGCTCCTTATCGCTCGCCACCGTCACGTATCCACCGGTAAGCACACAACCTCTCTTCTAAAATCCTTATCTCTTTAATTTCCCCTGAAGGCATTCAATCCCTCCCCCCTGCCGCGAATCTCGCTTAATTAGGGTTTTATGAAAATCTAACGCCTCTCGTTTCAAATTCCCTCAGTGATTTCGAATTAAGGAAGATGCCAGACGTACAATCAACGGTGTTGGAGTTCGTTAACAAGCTCAGAAAACGGTATATCCTCATTCGCGGCTTGTAATTTTGTAAAACCCTTTGTTAATAGATTTAATCATATGTTTTATACAGTAAGATTGAAGGATCACAGGCTACAGCGAAATGCACGGCGGAGCTACTCAGGTCAGTGATCTCTCAGCAGCGAGTGCCTCACGCGAACCAAGCTTCAGCTCTTATTGACGCTGTGAAAGCCGTTGGTGAACAACTCGTAGCTGCAAATCCTGTTGGTATGCTCATAACATGTGTAATTTCTATTTATGAATCAAAGGAATGATTTTTTTTTGTGGGGGATGTGATGGTTTTGTAGAGCTTGCGGTGGGGAATGTAGTTAGAAGGGTTTTGCATATAATAAGGGAGGAGGATCTCTCTTTAGCTACAGCTGCTATGGCTGGTTTGGACTTGCTTGATGCTAGTGATGATGAAGAGGATGGTAATAGTAAAGGAGTTGGGTATTCTCCAATGTCTGCGGCGGTTGTTGCAGCTGCAGCTAGGAGTACGTTACGGCCTCCGTCTTTGCAAACGCTTCTTGAGGGTACTCCTGAGTCTGCAGCTGTTCCTTACACTTCTTCGTCCGGTGCTGATTCCGAAAGCAAAAGTAAATGTACCTTTCTCCATGACTGTGGGCTCTTCTTTGCAAGTGTTAATTTTCTTTTCAGTAGAAGTTTATGCTGCCTGGTTTAGCTATGGTCTTGATAAGCGATGAAGAGAAGTGTTATAGTAGGAATAGAATAAAGTTAAATTTGCATTCTCTTTGAAAATTTGATACTCATGGTTATTTTGTTAACTGTCTAAGAATTGGACTTTAATTTGACGGTAAATGTGAAAGATTTAGGTATCTAGGAATCTGGTTTCACCTTGGGGAGTTTTTGGCTTGGGAAAGTTTAGGGAACTGAAGAAAGAACCCTAGACTACTTACTTTGGACTTGGGAGGTTCATCTCACTTTGATTGAAATTATTTTGGATGAATCATAGGATTTTTGTTTGGTTGCTAAAGTATTTACATTACTTGTTGATATTAATGTGAGTCTAACGTACTTCTTGTAGCTGCTGATAAAAGTTCAATTACTCGGAAGCTGAAGCATGATGTAATAGAAGGAGTCAACCACCTTATCCTTGAGATTTCTGGTTGTCATGATCAGATCGCTGAGCAAGCTATAGAGCATATACATCAAAAGTACTTTTCTTCTCTATACCATTAATTTTTATGTAGCATGCAGTAGATGGGGAACCAAAATGCTGGTATGTCAGTGTCTTTCCTTGATGACACATTTTTTTTTATCAGTGAGGTGATTCTAACCCTGGGTAGCTCGAGAACAGTACTTGAGTTTCTGTGTGCTGCAAAGGAGAAAAAGAGATCATTCCGTGTATTTGTCGCCGAAGGTGCTCCAAGGTTTGGTTTCTCCTTTTTCCTACGTTTATCATTACCATTGTTGGTGTCGATTAACTCATCTGTATCGGTTTTATTACCTTTCTTCTAAGTTACAATTCTACTCTTTTAATTTGTTAGGTATCAGGGCCATCTCTTAGCAAAAGAATTGGTAGCTAGAGGTCTGCAGACCACTGTGATCACTGACTCTGCAGTGTTTGCTATGATATCTCGAGTGAATATGGTACATGTTCAGTCCTTCCCAGATCTATATTTTCTTGTCCTTAGCTTCTAAACATAGATCTCAAATGATGTGATAATTCACAGGTTATAATTGGAGCTCATGCAGTGATGGCTAATGGTGGGGTTATAGGACCTGTTGGAGTCAACATGGCTGCCCTGGCAGCAAAAAAGCACGCAGTCCCATTTGTGGTTCTAGCCGGTAGTCACAAGGTATACTTCCAAGTTGATTATTTTGTTCAAACCAGTGATTGCTCTCATAAACCTGAATGCTAGACTTAAGGCTTATATATATATATATAATAAACAGCTATGCCCACTCTATCCTCACAATCCGGAGGTATTACTAAACGAGCTGAGATCTCCTTCTGAGCTGTTGGATTTTGGTGAATTCTCTGATTGTCTGGATTTTGGAACTGGTTCCGGGTCTCCCCTTCTTCAAGTTGTCAACCCATCATTCGATTACGTCCCACCAAACCTTGTTAGTCTCTTCATAACCGATACGTAAGCCTCATTCTTTCTTCTAGTTACTATCTCTGTAAGATTTGCCCATTTTTTTATGGCGTTACATTGTGTTGGTTGTGAAGCTGATGATGGTGGTTCTGATTTTGGTTACAGGGGAGGACACAACCCATCTTACATGTACCGTCTTATTGCCGACTACTACTCTGCTGATGATTTGGTGATGTAGTAGAGAAATTAAGCACTAGTTTTTGTTTTTTTTTTGGGTTATTTGACCACACAAACGCTTACTTTGTTGGTCAATTCACAATTGGAGGATATATGTACATTGCGCAAAGCGGATGCTCAATGCTTGTGAAAGGGAAAAGATGAACATCTTCTGCGTCTTTGATACTTGTCAGGCCTTTTTCATCAACACAACATTTTTCTTGATTTTGTCTTTTGTATTTTTTGTTTGCCAATTATATGAGTTGCAAGGTTTAAGATTGTGAGGCGATGCATAGGTTCGATTTGATATCTTTGCTAGAGTATCTGAGGCAATTAAAACTTTGATAAACTACTATGGCAAGTAGCTATAGCATTCCACCACGGTTTGATTTACTTGATTAGGATTTGTGGGGTTTAACGATGAATTAGAAAAGTTAGCAGTAGCATCTTAATAAGGACTAATCAAAATTGAAGACTTGAAGTGCACTTTAAAATCAAAATTGCACTTACGCGAAGGACCTATGGTAATTGATAATGGGCTTGGCCCAAATATTTTCTTTAAAAAGCCTAAAAAAAGCCTTTCTTGTTTCCTCTCGCGAATAAATACCATTTTGCCATGTTCAGACCAAAGTTTCTGTCTTCTTGGTCGGGATTTCCTAGAGAGAGAGATTCTTCTGTCTTGTTGAAGAACAAACCGAAATACAAATAAACCCGACATTCAAAAAAAAAAGAGAGACACAAACATTACAGAAAGAGAAGGTATATATATAGATAGTATACATACTCATATACCAACACATGGAGAATTGTAGAGAGAGAGAAGAGATATATTTCTCACTTTCTTCTGTCTATTTCATCATCTTGTTCTCTCTCTCCTCCAAGATCTTCCAATCTCCTTTCTCATGATTCTTACTTTTAAAAACAAAACTGTTTCAAAAACCACGGTTGATTTTCTAGTTTCCGATGAGCTGAAAAAGTGAAATTTCGTGGTTTTGGCAAAAGTTTGATCCGAATGATACTTAAGAGAGCTAATTTACGTTTTGTTACAATCTAAATATTACTTCCTCTTGCGCCAATTGCACTTAGCAATCCTTGGGGTCTTGTGATTTTTGTCCCGATTGGTTTTATATATATTTTTTTTCTTTCTAAGGTTTGATTGGATCGGATCCTTGAATTGGACCCTAATTTACCGTTTTTATTACTACTAGGATCGTCCCTCGGAGTTTAAAGAGTATTCGGGATTGGATTGTAGCGGAATTAAGTGAATCTGTCGGAAATTTTGTTCACATTCTGTCGGAAAGAGGTTGTCGGCTGGGCTATAAGGTTTTTTTTGAGCTGCTCATATAATAATCTGAGCTTAAGTCTGGAAATGATATTCGGTTTCTACTGGTGGGTTTTGGCAGGTTCCTTTTTTTTATAGGATCTGTGAAGTGGGCTATTGGGTGATGGTAAAGAAAGTTTGAGAGTTTTTAAAGTGAAATCTTGTTGGATATGGTTGGCTGGATCATAGTCTCTGATCTGGTCAGGTGAGAAAGTAACAAGAGTGGTTTTAAAGTATTTTACCACTTTAGGGAACGTGAGACTAGGGATAAAGTGCCAATGTCTCGTTGCTTCCCATTTCCACCACCAGGATATGAGAAGAAGAAGATTAGTACCGAGGAAGCAGACTCTTTAATAAAGGTTCTTTATGTTTTAACTCATAGGATCTACTCTCCTTTGAATATCATGATCTTTCTGGTTCGTAGAGTGGCTAGTGTACTTAGGTTAGGTAACAAATTGACTCTAGGTGCTTAGAAGTCGTATCATGAGACTAGACTCCTATGAATTACTTTTAGCCTAATGGAGGAGAATTATGAATGGACAAGTTTGTGTTGTTTTCTAGAACATATGTATAACAGTTAAGTGCTGGAGCAAGGGAGATATAGACTTTTACAGAGTTTCTCTTCTAACCAACACTTATGATGTGTGTGGCCTTTGTCTCTTGGAATTGAATCTGCAGGAAAAGCAGAAGAGGGAAAAGAAGCACAAAAAGGAGAAGAAGGATAAAGAAACAAGCAAAGATAAATATAAGGAAGGGAAGCAGAGAAAAGATAAACATAGAGATAGCAAAGAAAAGAGCAGAACTTCTCAGGACAAAAAAGCTGTTGGTGTTCTGCCCAACACCGTGCAGAATAATGGTAATGAGGAGTCTAAGTTTGTACAGGATCTGGCAAGAAGGATCAGCAATGAAGAAGAAGCTAGAGAGAGTCAAAGTGTGAGGAAGTGTAGTTTTCCCTGTGGAGTTAGGGAAAAAAAGTCTGAAAATGCGGTTCATCCAGTATCCTCTTGCAGAGATCAGAAAGGAACTGAGATTAAAGAACATGCAAAGAAGGCTGAACTACAAGAGAAGAATCACCGTACGACGAAAGGTTATAAGTCATTGGATAACAAAGAGATAAAGAAAAGTGAACCAAAGTACACAACACATAGAACTAGTCAAGATACCAAAGAAGAGGCGATCAACAAAAGTAAACCAAAGAATGTAGAAGGAGGTTCTATCTTAAAAGAAAGAGATGTAGATACTAGGAATTTTGGCAAAAGGAAGAATCATGAGACTAATGGATTCATTTATGGTGAGTCATTCTTAATGTGAATATGTTGATTTCTTATGCTGCTATTGTTTGTCTCTTAACGGTTTTGTTTAATTTGTTATGCAGAGAATGGATCTAAGCTAAACAAGATACATAAACCAGTTGCTTCACCAGTGTCATCCGTAGAGAACGGAAGTAAGTTTGGAGCATGTCAAACTCCTCCCAAACCTGTTACTGAGTTGCTAGGAACAGTGTGTAACCCAGAGCATAGAATAAACGGTATCATTGATCCTCAAGAATCCAAAAGCCGTCCAGAGATTTCTTCTGTGAAGTTGAAAGAAAACGGTGAAGGTTCAGTAAAGAAGCGGCCTCATTCGGACTTGAAGTATTTGGATCAGATACTGAATGTACCCAAAAGGGAGGAGTTGCATGAGGTTGATGAAAGTGAAGAACAAGAGTGGCTATTTGGTAAGTCTGGTGTGAAATTATCAAAGAAGCCAAAAACTGATTCTACTACTTCATTGGATGAGACTCTGCAAGTTTGGAATCAGGCTTTTAGAATAGAATCTGCTGATACTGTAGCTCTTCCATATGTTGTTCCATTCTAGTTGATTAGAGAAGTATTGAATTGTCTGATGTTTTGGAGTTAATACTGGAGCCAAACGATCCTTTGATCCTGGTGGACCAACTATTGGTGAAGCATTTGGGTTACAGGAACATCATGTGGGTGTTATAGCCATGATGAAATCACAGAGGTTTTGCACGCATTGGAGTTACAAGAAGTCATGTTCTAAGACTTTGAGGTCTCAAGGACTGATAAAGAGGAGCTTACTCAATGGTTGGAGTATTCCAAACAAAAGATTGCAGAGAGGATTCGAGTTGCAGAACATGACGGTGTTATGGGTACACTAACCATGATGACGAACTTTAGCATCTCGTGGGAACTTTCAGAGCTTTACATCTTGAGGAACGGTTTCATTCCCAGGGAGAGATGATTTCAGATTCAGTAGCATCCACAGGGACGCTTTTTCTTTACACTGAATGACTGAAAAATGGGAAGATGTTGTTACGACGAGCACACTTCAACCATCAGTGAATAAACATGTTTGGTCGTTAATAGCAGCAATGATGGTAACACTGCAGAAGAAACCTGTCAGCTGGATCATGGAATCAGTCATAAATTTCTAGTAAACTCTTGGTTGTTTGTAATCACCAAGTTATAGCAGATGGGACTTTGAGCATGAAGAATGATGATTATGACCACGTCACCAAATTTATGCAGGCTGGCCTAAGAGGTCCTCAAGGAGACAGAAAAGGCCGATTTATAGAAAAGGCCCTTTGTCATTGAATTCTGTAAATTCATTGTTTTTTTTTTGACATAAAGGGAAATTAATTAGTCCTTATTTTTTTTTGCTAAGAATTAATAATTTTTTTACTGGGAGCAAACCTTTTTCACAGTTTTTAACTCTATTGTCTAATAAATATTTTTGCTTTTCTATTTGATGAGTCTTAGCTCCTAACCAAACCCCAGACCGGTGTACTTCCTATTATATAGCACAGTCCCCAAGACAATGTACATCCTATAATATATACTAGATTTTGATCCGCGCATTGAAAACGCGGGATAATTTTTCGGTCAAATATAATTGTATTTTCTCTTTATTTAAAAAGGCCAGACCATGAAATCCATAAACAAAGGAATTATTCGCCTACGTGTAATTTGTTTTGTCGCTGTTGAATTGTGCAGTTTTTATTTGAAAAATTAAATTGTTATTTTTGTCGTTTCACTCTTCTCAAAAGAAAACAAAAAAAGGTTTGTCTTTGTCTTTGAATCTCTTTCTTTTCTATCACCATTGTTTTAGAGAGTTCTTCGTTTATGCTGAAGCAATAAAGATCTTTTTTTTTCCTTTTCTTTTAGACAAATTTAATGGGGGATAAAATGACATAATCTGTATACTCTCTCAAGCAATTTTTCATTGGATCGATTTTAGTTAGGTTCTCAAAGACTAATAAAATGCCGACGTGTAATTTGTTTTGTCGTTGATGAATTGTGCAGTTTTTTCTGAAAAATCAAATCGTTTTTTCTTTTGTCGTTTCTCTTTTCTCAAAAGAAGACAAAAAAGTAATTCCAATCAAGTGTGTGTATGAAGTTGGAGAAGACTCTGGTGTGATTGCAAGATGAAAACTTGCACTAGTTTCTGCAGCTGTTCATGTGTTTTGAGCTTGATACTTTACTGAAAAGTTCTTTGTGTGCTGGTCTCAAAAAGAGTGATTTAGTGGAACAATGGTATGCAAATAAAGTTGACGTTGCTCTTAAATCTAAAATGAAGGAACTGTTACTGGAAACTCTAGGTTTATCTCTCGTAGAAGCAAGGTGTACTTCCGCCAGTGCCGGAACCATGGAACATATCTATGGCTGCAAGGGAGTGCCTTCGGCTCGTTAGCAGAAGGGTTGGAGATGAAATAGTACCTCTTGCGATTCCATTTATTCTTGAGAACATATTGGAGACTAGGAGCTGGCCACACCGGGAGGCAGCTATTAGTGCTTTTGATCAACAAGTTTTTCCCGCATGTTCCTGGCTTGTTGAGTTTTTTATATCCCGCAATCAAGGAAATGGGGAGCTTGCATCTACCTTTAAGGCAACTGTTGTATGGATCTTGTCTAGATACTCAGGTCTTGCAGAATTGTCATTCGAAAACTAACCCAAAACTGCAATAGTCGTAGTGCTGCTTCCAAACTTCTCAATCCCTCTAGAGATGATACAAGAATGCTCTGCCTCCACTACTACAATCACATCCCCACCAACGAGAGATAATAGCGTCTCAGCTATCTGACGTGTCATCTCCTCTTGCACTTGAAGCTTGAACCCGTAAAAATGAACATTAATAGACTTAGTGACTTGTGGTTGTATCCTTCACCACAATAGTAGCCAATGTGAACAACTCCGTAGAAAGGAAGCTGTTCGTACACATTGACCAAAATGGGATATACTTTGAGGCTCTGGATACCTAGACAATATTGAGATAATGTTTTATAATTTCCTATTTCAGTATTGCTTTGAGCTTTTTGATTTTAATTTATATCTTATAAGAGTTAAACTTCTAGGTTGCGATTTACATCCTTATAAAAAAGCAAAATTACTATCATATGAAATTAAATTCAGGATTATTTATTTATTTATTCTGGTTATCTTATCTTATTTTTTTTTATTTTTAAATTTATCAGATATTACCAAATATATAGGATTTTCTATTGCTCTTGGACTTAAGTTTTATTTTTTTGTTATTTAATTGCCGAATTAGGTTATTTTTCTGTCATGTTTCGTCGCCTTGCTTAACCCATCTAATCTTTCCATGTACTTCACAATGAATGCAAAAGAAATTCGAACAATTATCGGAATTATTGGTACGTTCTGCTTCTCTATTTATAAAATGAATATGATTATCTCTCATGTGTAGTTTCGATTTTTTATTTTTTTGACAGTTTCGATATCTAATATTTATTAATACCGGAACGAGTCAATGTAGTTGTAGCTGTGTTTTGAATGAAGCTATACCTTATTTATGCTTTTGTGGAACTTTAATCGATCGTTAATCCAATGACGGATTATTTAGCTTAATTAGCATAACTTAATTTAGCCGTGTACTGATGCAGGCAATGTTTCATCTCTATTCATCTCCCTCTCACACATGTAATCTCTTTTCTTCTATCTTTTAGTTACTGGTTTCTAGGACTATTGTTTTCTCACGGATTCATATAAGGATTATTATACTTAATTCACAAACATCTGCGTATACAGGCCAAAGTTTATACAAATTTACAAGGATAAATCAGTGGATGGGGGATTTCAACAACATCGTCATGTAGCGATGGTGATGAAATGTGGCATGTGGATTTTGTATGGTCTCCCACTTGTTCAAAAGGATAGCATTCTCGTCACTACCAGTAATGGCGTCGTGCTTGTAATCGAAGTGATTTACGTGGTTGTATTTTTTATCTACTGTGACAAAAATCTAGACTTAGAACGTGTAAGTTCAATCATTAATAAGCTTAAATATCTTAATCATTATTGTATTATTGTTTTTGATCCGTGATTTTGATGTTGTTGGTTATCTTCAGATATCGGCCACTGGGGCATGTCTTATAGTTGAGGTTTCTTTGCTCTTGTTTTTCTATGCGTACATTCTTTGGATCACTGAAAACCTATCAGCAAGACGTAAATTAAGTGGTGTTTTTTGCACCGTTTACACCATTCTCATGCATTTAAATCTAGCCTTGGTATGAGTTCTCTTTTCTTTTCCTTATTGATAGATATATAAACTAATTAGTTATGAGTTTTCATTAACTTTTTTTTTTTTTGTTTAATGTTTGAAACGATAGCAAACAAAGGTTGACGGGGAAGAATGTGAATGTACGCGTCTGCCCATTTGGTTCTCATTTTTAAACTTTATCAACTCTGGCATTTGGATTGCGTATTCTGTGATTTACAAGATTGACATCTACGTTCTTGTAAGCCTTCACTTTCTTTGAAATTTTTTATTTTTAATCGATTTTCCTTATGAGATTTTGGTGTTTGTAACGTTTTTTTTCCTTTTTTGGGTTTGTGTATGGGACAGATAGTCAATGCTGTAGGAGCATTTGCGTGTGCTAATCATTTAATAATCTTCTGTTGCTCAACTGCTAATCCATGCTTGTTACTAATACTACACAAGAGAGTCGTACCAAGTACCAGCGATCCGGCCGCTGTATGAAGTTTCTGCATCACTACATGCTTTCTATATATGCACCGTAATTTGTTTTTTCTTCTTTTTTATTTTTTCTTCTTCTTTTCGATTTCGCTTGGTTCATCTAAAGTTTGGTTGGTTCTATGCATAGTCCGGTTTGAAACAATCGTCATGACCTCAAAATTTAAAGAACTATATATTATACATAGTTCAGTAACTTGAGAACATTCCAAATCATCTATTTTCTAAAACAAACCCCAATGGTAGTACGTAGAATGGCTCACAAGATCTACTATTATGGAGAGAATGATAAACATCTAACATGATAGATAGAAGAAGAATCGAAACAACCACAGAAACCATTTCAGTTTCTTGTTCAGACGAGCTTTTAACGCTCGAGCACCACTCTTTCACAGATTCGTTGCTCATACACAAAGCGAAAATATGAAATAGAAATTACAGAAAATAATTTGTTATTGATAATTTCGTAGATTTTTTACAAGAATCAATACCAAAAAACATGTAAAAATTTAGCAAAATAGGATGTGTAGAAAACATGATATATTTTTCATATAGCATTTCTAATTTTTATCCCTCCAAATTATGTTTAACATTTAGTTGGAAGGCTTCAGCCGTTATAAGTCAAATTGTTTTATTACTTCTCTAGGTAATGGTGGATCTCTAGGTAAAGCGTCTCTATAATCAATGTTCATCTTTTTTTTTTATCTCGATCATTCGGTTTACATATATACTTAACATATATAGAGAGAGTGAAATAACTATTCAGCCATGGCCATTTACTGACAATTTTATCTGGCTTGATGCAGGCAATATTTTATCCTTATTCATATCCCTCTTACACATGTAATCTCTTTTCTTCTCTCTTTGGTTTTCAAGGACTATTTTTTCACAGATATATAAAAGAATTGTTATTGCTATTCACAAACATATGCATATACAGGCCAACATTAATACAAATTTACAAGGATAAATCAGTGAATGCGCATTTTCCAGAATATCGTCATGTAGCGATGGTGATGAAATGTAGCTTGTGGGGTTTGTATGGTCTCCCACTTGTTCAAAAGGATGGCATTCTCGTCACCACCAGTAACGGCGTTGGGCTTATAATCGAAGTGATCTACTTGGTTGTAAATTTTATCTACTGTGACAAAAAGCAGAACTTGTAAGTTCCATCATTAATGCTTAAATCTCTTATTATTGATTTTGATACCTAATGTTTATATGTTGTCTGGTTATCTTCAGAATAAGCTTACTGGGGGATTTTATCTTTGTTTTGAGATTTGTTTGCTCGGTTATTTCTATTGTTATACTCTCTTTTTCCTTGAGAACGTGTCGGCAAGACGTAAACTAATCGGTGTTGTTTGCACCGTTTACGCCATTATTATGCATAGTGTATCAGCCCTTGCATGAGCTCTCTTTCCTTCCTAATTAATTGATACGTAAACTAATTTAACCTTTTTTCTGAAATTATAGGATTCAATGATTGGCGAGGAAAATTACATTCTGTTTTGGTTCTCACTTGCTAACTTCATCAACGTTGGAATTTGAATTGCGTATTCTGTGATTTTCAAGATTGACAAATACGTTCTTGTAAGCCTTCATTTTCTTTTTAATCGATTTTCCTCATGAGATTTTGCCATTTTGGTGTTCGTAACGTTTTTTTTTTTTCCTTTTTGGGTTTGTGCATGGGACAGGTAGTCAATGTTGTTGGAGCAGTGGCGTGTGCTAGTCATTTAATAATCCTGTGTTGCTCAAATATTAATCCCTGCTTGTTAGTGTTACTACCCAAGAGAGTCGTACCAAGTGCTCGTTGTATGAAGCTTCTCCATCACTACATGCTTCTATATATGCACCGTAGGATTATTTTTCCTTCCGATTTAGCTAGTTTAATCTTAACATGGTTGGTTTTACGTATAACAGGATGAAACGTTCGCCTTGACCTCAAACTTTAAAAGAACTATTATACATAGATTCATATCGCCGATTTCGATATTTGTCTTATTAAGATTATTTTTAAAAATGTTCGGTAACTTGATAACGTTCCAAATCATCTGTTTTCTAAAACAATTTCAATACTAGTACGTTGAATGGCTCACAAGATGTATTATTATAAAGAGAATGACACATCTCAACATGATAGATAGAAAGAAGAATCAATAACCAAGAAATCAAATTGCTTCCTTAGTTTTGAGACTTCCAAGTGCTCATAACATCAAACAAACAAGAAACCCCACTCAAAATGGTGAGCTTGCATCTTCCTTCAAGGCAGCCGTTGTATGGATCTTGTCTAGAAACTCAGCTCTTGCAGAACAATCATTTGAAAACTGACCCAAAACAGCAATAGTAGCAGTGCTGCTTCCAAACTTCTCAATCCCTCTAGAGATCATACAAGTATGCCCTGCTTCCGCTACAACAATCACATCCCCACCAACAAGAGGTGATAGCGTCTCAGCTATCTGACGAGTCATCCTCTCTTGCACTTGAAGCTTGAACCCATAAAAGTGCACAATAGACTTCATAAGCGACTTGTGGTTGTATCCTTCATTACAATAATACCCAATGTGAACAACACCATAGAAAGGAAGCAAATGATGCTCACACATTGACCAGAACGGTAAGTTAAGTTCACAGTGCAGCTTCTTCTCCTTCTTCTCTTTAACCTTGACACCGTTAACGCCATTAAGCTTCATCTCGAGGTTAACGTTTTCAAACCTCATCATCCACTTTAGGAATCTAGAAGGTGTAGCAATGAGTCCTTCCCTTGACGGATCTTCTCCTAATGACTTGAGAATCGAAACAACCGCAGAAACCATCTCAGTGTCTTCTTCTTCAGAAAAGCTTTTAACAACGCTCGGACACCACTCTTTCACAGACCCACCACACAAAGCTTGTGTCTTTACGCCTCTGAACTTCAAGAAACTCAAGAACTCACCCCAAAGACTCGAACCTTCCTCCTCGAAAACACCTGAACCAGAGGAAACCATGACCTTCACAAACCCATGGTGGCTTAGAGACTCTACCTCCAAGCAAGGGAAGTGAATGTGAGAGCATTGGAGAACAACAGCAACACCAGAAGGTTTGACCCAGTGCTGAAGAGCAGAGCATATATCATCAGCCAAACGCTGAGGCTCTTGGAGCCGTTTAGCGAAAACATCAGCGACTCTTGAGAACTTGCTAAGTCCCAAAACACGTTGCTCAGATGGGACGTAACCGATGTGACACCTCACGTGAAAAGGAAGCAAGCAAGACTCACAGTAAGAGTAATGATCTAAATCTCGAACAACAACGAGTCCTCCAACACCTCCTGCTTGTCCAACTCCATCATCTAGCCCTGCTTCTGGAAACAGAGCACTCTGTACAAACTCCTTCACCTTTAACTTATAACCTAAGAGCATTAAAAATAAACATGACTTCAATAATATTAAAATCAATTAACTCAAAAAGCAGAAACGTTATGTAGTGTTGTTGTTTACCTCTGGTGCCTTCACGAAGAGCCTTGGCGACACGGAAAGGAGTCTTTTTGATGCCTTCTCTGTTGACATCTTCGTGAAGACCTTGGAGGAGAAGCTTGACAGCGTCTTGGATGGCTAGAGTCTCTGGTTGGTGCTCGAAAGCTAGCTCGACGCAACCGTTTTTGATTCCAGTCTCGAGCTCTAGATTTAAACGTCCTTCATCTAATGCTCCCATTGAAAGAAACAAAGCACCAACCGGATCCAATGGATAAGGAAACAAAAATGAATTGATTGTAAGGAAAAACCCAAAAAAAAAAAATCGAAAAAGTTTAGATTTTTCAAGATGCCCAGTAATATTCAACAACACATGAATCGTCTCCACGGGAAAAAAAGAAGAGATCTTTTGTTTCCGGGAAAACTAATCGGAATTTTTTTGAGAAGACGGGATAATACGCGGGTGGGAAGAAACGATGGGTTGCCGTTGATCCAGTTATTTTTATGTGGATTCGCAATAATCGTTTAAAAAAATTAGTATCATGATATTAAAATTAGTATCATGATATTATTATATTTTTTTATTATTGTTTCTTTTATCATCAGAGAATCTTGCGAGACAAAATAAAAAAGGAAGTTAATTTTTACTACATCTTGTACTGTCATCCAAGATCTTTTGTCTGATCTTTCCCTTTTTCGATCTCTTTTAACGTAACTCCTGTGTGGTCCTAATTTTGTTTTTTAACATGTTTTTTTTGCTACTTACAGTGGATTGTTTTAATCAAAGTTTTTTCAATCACCTAGTGGGGTTATAAATAATTAAATTATACTGAATTTGAATATGTCGTTTCCGTTTCAAATCAGATCTAATAGCAACAACAGTCCTAGCAAAAAAAAGTTAAACAAAATCGAAACAAAATGGGGGGTATTATAGATGCAGCACAATAAAAGAAAAATCAGTCAAAATGGAAAGTGTCGCTATCGGAGAAAAGCGAATAAATTCGCTCTTGCTATAAATAGGCAGTATAGTAGTAATACGATCTAATTAGGTAGGGATGTCTAAAATCGGGAAAACTATTTAGACTTAAATGATTAACAAAAGTCAAAAAGGCGACAAAAGAAAATAAAACAATAGTGTTTCTTTTTTTTTACTGAACTTAAAGTGTAGTTTTCAAAACAAAAACAAGACCCCTAATCCAAAAAATATAATCTTAAACTTTTAAACTTGCTAATGCTATGGATAATGGACGCAAAATAGTGTTGTTAAAAAAAAAAAATGGACGCAAATAGATTTTAAAATTAAGTGGAAATAATATAGCTTTTTGTCTTCCTCTACTCACCGAGAAAGCCATTGTGCAGGAAAGTAAAACTATTAACAAAAGTTTCTAAAAATGTATGTTTTGCAGTGAATGCAAGAGTTAATCCTTTCTTTGCAAAAGCTATACGGACACCTGTTAATGCAAAACTATGGAAACTAACATTTTTTTTTCTGAGAAAATGTAGCCAAGCATGTACTTTTATAAGAAAGATTGTCATCGATAGTAGAAGGGCATTGATACTGATATACATAAAAAAAAATGTAGGTTACTTTGTAATGATCAAATGTATTAGGAAAGAAGGTTTGTTATGCAATGAAGTCAATCAGAACGAGGAAGTACCTGAGGTATCCATGGAAGAAGAAAGGATGATTGCCTACACAATTCTGTCCCTTGGATTTGATATATATACATAGTAAAATGATAATTTAATCTATATAATAAAACCAACCCTGAGTGATATTAAAAAAAAAAAAAGAAGATCTGATTTCGTTGAGATCCCCCATATGATATAGAGACAAAAAAACGTGTTTAATTAATAAAATGTCTATATCATTGTACACATATACGGGTATACCATTTTAGTTTCATTTTCATATATATTAGATAAAACTAATGTAATTAATTATTTATATGATAAGAAAAGGTATATTTGACAAAAAAGGCTAAGTTTTCATACGTTGTATATGTTATAGGGTATTTTTGGTTGAAGCTTTCATAATTCATATTATTTATGTGTCCATTATAATTTAATAATATAAGATCTATCGGATTCAACTAACTACAATTATTATGAACAGCTCTCCAAACAACTCCATTATGTAACTCTTCCCCATGCACATATCCACGGGCGAATCTAGACTATTTTTGTACCGGGTGCATCATTCACAAAAAGTAAAAATAAATACAAATAAGAACATCGAACTTGAAACATTGTGAGTAGACATTGTGAGTAGCATGAAGCATTTTACAATTTTACCTATCAAAGTTTTTGTGATTTTGTGCGTAAAATTACAAAATATATTACTTTAATGGGTGCACAGGCCCATGGTTGATATGCCTTTGCCACTGACATGTCTACGATTATTAATATATTTTTATTAGAAAGTTCTGACCATAAATATTTCAGAAATAATAAGTGATTTAAAAAAAAAATTATTAAGAGAATATCTCAAATGTAGAGAACTATACTTAAAATATCAAAAATCGTCTTTTGAATATGTTCTAAATCATAATTAACATTTTACCTAAATCACCTTACAATTTCTGATAAAATTTGCATACATAAATTCTTAGAAATTCCTTATATTTTTAATTCTAATCTTAGTTTACATATGGCACTACTAGGTCGTGAGGTTTCCACAATAGTTTATTAGTTTTTACTGCTTAAGAAACGAATGATAACAGTTTATCAAGGGAAAAAAAACAATTTGCAAAAAAAATTAATAATACCAACAAACGCATTTCTGATATATTTTAGGTCACAATCAGAATTGTTTTAAAAAAAAAAGACATAATCAGAAAAATTCTAACGATAGATATGTTTTTCTTGTAACGATGATGGTGGAACTCCTTTTCTTCTCTATATTAAACAACAAATCCCAAAAATCTACCTTATCGGTGGTCAAAACCTAGCAGTTGGCAATAAACATTCGTTCTGTTTCCGTATCTTTTTATTGTTCAATGTTGCACCAACTTTTGATAAGTTTGTTTGACAAAATGGTGAGATGATTAAATTTATATTATCTTTTCCTTCAACCATTGATTGGATCGGAGATTCAGAATACGACATAGATCGTAAATTAACGAATATCACATACAGAGAAAACAAAGTTGATGGCATTAATAAGTTTTGAAACAAATCAAACTAAAAAATGAATTCCCGCTCAACAACTAAGTTTTGTATTTTTGTCTAAATAAATTAGGTGGAATAGTTTAAAATGAGAAAGTAGTGTTACCTACCACACATCAGTAATATTTTTTGAATAGTTTTTATACGAAGGTGGATTTAATGGTAAATTACACTGTATTTCAATTGGAGCTCAAGATAGGGGGACCATTCTTAGCATTTGCCAACCACGTGTCTAAGCTAACTTTGATCTCGCGCTCGAGATTCGCGTACGAGATGCAAGAAAGACGAACGTCTCCACGTCAACTTCAGCAGGTTTTCAGGGTACACGTCAGATGCATGCTTCACGTGTAACACGTCGTAATATTCTTGTAGGGTTAGTAAACTTTTCTTAAGCCTTATCCTACTTTACATACTTATAATCAATTAATCAATCAATCATACGTCTACCTGAACCCACCCATGTCCACTATCGTCACCAGACACGGAATGGAACAAAGTGCAAGATGATCAGAGCAGAGCATGTAAAAAGAGGTTACTTGCGTCGTGGCTTTTGGTTTGAGCTTCAGTGAAGGCCCATAATATTTTTAGCCATATAGCCCAAACCTATTGAGCCTGATTAACAAGTTATTGTGCCACCTATTGAGTCTAAACATGTGTCGTTCAAAAAAGAGTCTAAACATGTATCAAACCAGTTGATATTAAACTTAAATTAAAACTCTGACCCGACACAAGATCTAAATCAAATCTGACCCAACATCCTACTAAAATATTGGGTCGAGTACAATTTCAGTATCATGTTCGGTTGGATTTTAACTTTAGTTTGATACCAACATATTTGATCGATTTAACTAGTTTGATATTAGTTTAGATTCTAAACCAATAAAAGCAAGATAAATTTTCGTGTGTATGGTTTCCGATTTCGATCTTTAAAAATATAGGTAAATAGGTTCATATACTTAAAATGTGTGTAAGTAGAACGAGCATGAAAGATTATGGGGAATTGTTACTATACCATTGGAAATAGTTTGTTTACCTAATAAAAACAGAACTGTTGGAATAAGAAATCCTATCAAAAACGAACTTCTACTTCTTTTTTTTTTGTGGCACAAGAACGAACTTCTAGTTATGTAACTAAAACTGGTTGCAGTGAACTAGTGATAGAAGTTGAAAGTCTTGCTGTTCTGTGAGAAGACTTAAACTAGTGAGGCTAAGTGGTTCTTGTAGTAGTAAGATTTGTCTTAAATATTTAGAATCAATGAGCTGGGAATGTTTTTTTGTTTGTTTGTGATGTTGTACTTTGTGAATGGTGAAATGGATTTCTTCGATTTGAATAAAGACATATAAAGAAACTAGATACGATCAAAAGATAAATAACTAAAGATGAACCATTGAAACGGAAAATGTTTTTAGAACACAGAAAGGTTACATCATAACAAAGTAGAGAGATCTATTCATTCATTCATCACAGGCTTGTTGTCGCTGGCCTTGGGCTTCTGTTCTCTTGGCTTGTCCTCGCCTCTCCTATTTTTTTTTAAATACACACCACGATGAGGTCAGTAAGAACAAATAAATCGACATAACTAACATTAAACATCTTCATACTCCAAGAAACAAAATTGCTCATCTCATTCTATTTTCTACCAGAACAAATAAATAGACATAACATCTTTTTTTTTGGTAAAAAACATTTAACATCTTCATACTTCTAGAAACAAAATTGTTTATCTCATTCTATTTTCTATCAGACAAGAGAGAGAGAGAAAAGTGTTTGTACCTTTTGTCGGCAGAGTATTTCGAGCTCAAGAAGGATTTGAAGAGAACGGAGTTGACATCGTAAATCATCTTTTCGATCAAAGATTCTCTTGTAACTTCTAACTCAGATTGGCTGCAGAAAAGAGAAATGACGGTAACCCTAGAGATCCCACGTTCAACCTTTTTTATATTGTCGGCTCTTGACCATCTTCTTGAACTAGTTTGGGCCATTATTTATGGGCCTACTTCGGCCCATACATTTCTCTCCTTTTTTTAAACGACTCTTCTAATAGGCATTCATTAATTAAAAATCTCAAGGCGTTTGAACTCATCAATGTCAAAGATAACGTAAACAAAGATAAGATAGAAAAAAACGCTTAAGCAACCCCGTTTATACACTCAGTTCGTGGGACACATCAAAAGAAATTATAAACGAGAATGTCTGCACTAGCAGAACAAGTACAATCATGTTGGTGATTACAGTTTTCATGAAATTAGGGACACGAGGGATACAAATTCTAGCGTAACTCTTCCCTTTGTTCTAGTGTTGATTACGAAATGCTCAGGGTATTTTCTTAGCAGCATCAGCAAACCGTACCATGGTTTACCAATTGCTTCAGGGATTGCCCAGTCTTCTTGTGCCAGGTACCTTCTTACTCGACTGTGATGCCATATGTTTCCATACTTCTTTAATATCTGTCACAGACCAAAGCACTATGATGCATTAACATTATATTGAATCACAAAGAGAATTGATTTATGAAAACATAATGAAACTCTGCAACGAACTATAGGGATCGACTTGTGGAGTAATAACTTTATCCAGTGTTATAGACCTAAAATTTGGTGTTTTCCAATAGTGAAAACTCGTGTTAGGACTAGAAAGAACTAACCACTGAGTGAAGTTTCTCCATAGGCATCCAATCTCCAGGACCACACAAATCAGAAAGCACAGTAGCAACAGATGACACAACATCCTTCTCCTCCAGAAGCAAAACTTGTTGATCATCAGCTTCACGATCTATCTTCACTCTCCCCTCTCTCTTCTTCTCTGCACACATCAACCAGATACAACACCATGCTGTCACTATCAACCAACTCAACTTCCAACAACATTATATCAACACAATCACTACAGCTTAGCTAGGATAACACAAAAATAGTCTTCGAATGCCTAAGATCAATTGCTAACAAACACTAACTACTCAACTTCTAAGAACATTATATCAACACAATCACTACAACTTAGCAGAAACTACAATAACACAAAAATCTTATTTAATCTTCGAATACCTAAGATCAATTGCTAGCAAACACTAACTACTCAACTTCTAAGAACATTATATCAACACAATCACTACAACTTAGCAAAAACTACGATAACACAAAAAATCTTATTTAGTCTTCGAATGCCTAAGATCAATTGCTAGCAAAACACTAACTATAACCTGAGATTAACCTAATACAAATTTAATTTTACCAGAGGAACCATATTCATCATGTCCATCTCTCCTTATCTTCTTCCCACTCCCCCTAACAACCTCCTCATCCTCATCCTCCTCCTCCTCCTCATCATCCTCTTCATAAAACTCTCTACTCCTCCCACTCTTCTTCCCCGACCCGGAACCCGAATGATAATTCTGATAAGGAACAACCCCACCCCCATGCCTAGCACCCAACGGCCCTCCCAAAATACTCCGAACAGGCAACAGAAAATAAAACTCCTTATCCCCAATCTGCAACAGATCCTGCGAGTCTAACTTCACGTTAGGGTTCCCGGGGAGATGCAAAACGCCTTCGACGAAGCACCCGTTCTTCCCGAGGACCTCGAGGGAGAAACGGCGTCGCGTGAAGTCGTAGAAGATCCGGGCGTGGTTGCGGGAGATGTTCATCCCGCCGCCGAGGGAGGATAGGTCGACGTCGACGGTGGATTTCTTGGAGTTGCGGCCGAGCATGATGGAGTATGATTGCATGTAGTACTCGAAATCCTCGCCTTGGAGCTTCGCGAATCCGACTTCTACGTCGCTTCCTCCTCTTACGGCGGTAGCCATGCCGTGAGGGAGAGAGAGAGAGTCTATCCGGTGGTTTGATCCGAGCGACGACGGAGAGGGATCGAGAGAGGGACGGAGAGTGTGGAGTTAGGGTTTGCGAAATTGGGATAGTTTCTAAGAGTGGAAGTGGTCTGTTTGGATAAATGGTTTAGCTTATTCAGTGTCAAGGTTTAGGATAAAAGCTTTTTTTACCTGAAATGACTATTGTATCCTTTCTGGTTAAGCTAGACCTCAATAGAGAGCCGTGGAGAGACGAAGTAACCGTGTTTAAACATTGTTATTGGCCTTATGGCTCATTAAGCTCAAGTTATAAGTCTTTTGTAAATTTTAAGTTCTGAATTTAGCAAAAATGGCTAATCATAATAAGTTGTGAATTTACACAAATAGCTAATATAATAAATTTTCAAATATTTTTAATTTTAAAAGTGTAAGTTACATATCTAAGTATTCTAAAAATATGTTTAGGTGGTTCATAGACCATGCCTAAATCGAAACCAAACAAAACAAATATTTTGTAAGTTTAAAAGTGTAATTTATATATTTAAGTATTCAATGTATGATTTAATGATAAATTGTAGATTTCAAAAAAAAATTATATTTTTTTACAGTTTTATTGATTAAAAATGGTAGGAAATTATTAGATTAAAAAAAAAATGTATAATCAAAATTTTATGTTTTTCTTAATACATGTAAAAAATCTAAGACATTCGATTTTTAAAAAAGGGAATATAAAAGACTTAACTACCGTCTAATGATTTTGTAAACACTGATATGTCTTTGTCTACGTTTAATTTGATTATCTCACCACATATTATAAAAAATGGTAATGATAATAATCAAAAGGTCCATCCATGTTCATCACATGGAAGAAGATCCTCCAAGACCAACCTGTCACACTAGACTTTTCCTCTGTTTGCTTCTTACAGAATGCACACTTGAACCCCCAAAACAACAAACATTTTCTCCATTTTTATATTAAACTAATAACAAAAAAAAATAAAAGTGGTAAGAGAACAAAGTCCAGCTTAAAGAAGCTCATCTCTTTACTCATTTCACGATTCCCCCGTCTCGTGTTTCTCTCACACTTGGTCTTTTGAGTTTCCTTCTTTGGTCTTTCATCAAACAAGACCAAAGTTGATGTTTTTTACAGCCTAAAACAGAGACAGCCACATATACATGTGTTATGTCTCCATAATCCCATTATTACTAAACTCACCACCACTTCACACTTTCTCTCCTAAAATTTCCAGATCCAACACAAACCCATCTCACAGGAGAGAATGGGAGTGATATTGGACTCTTGGTGCTTCTGCAAAGGAGTAAGCAAAAGCGAGAAGATGAAAGGTTCCATTTTCTCCGGCAAAGCTCCGGCGATGGCTCGAATCTCTGTCTCCGGACCAAACGGTGTTACTTCAGGAACAGGGTTTCTTATTCACCGGAATCTACTTCTCACCACTCATCTTAATCTCCCTTCCATCTCCGCCACCGAAACCGCCGACGTCCGCCTTCAGAACGGCGTCGCCGCCGCTCTCTTCCCTCACAGGTCCCACCAGAACTCTCTTTGTCTACTCTATTGTCGGTTGAACGGTTCCGATGAAACTTTTTTAAACCAATGAGATTATAAAAATGGCTCTAATTCATAATTTTGAAATAAAGGTGAAACCTTTATATTGAAAGGTGGAACCTTTATACTGTAGTCTGTAGTTATGTTTATATGGTAATGATTCTGGATCTGTTATCTATATTTAGTAACTTTTAGCTTCCCCTTGTGGTTAATTATTGAAGAAACCTTGCAAGTTTCTCTGCATATGTTCATTGATTGCATCAAACATAATATGAATCATTGTGTCAAAGGTCCAGGAGTAACTGATAGGACGAAGCACATATTAGATTATAGTATTTAAGAGAATAAAATAAAATGAACAATGCTTATTTATCAGTCTAAATTGTGTATTGTTTGGCCAATGGTGTATTTGTAGGTTTTTCATCACAAGTTCGGTTATTGATCTAACCATAGTTGGTGTAGATCTTGTTGATGGAGACTCAAGTTCTCAGAGTCAAACCCAACAACAGACACATTACTTGAAGACATGTTCTAAACCAAACCTGGAGTTGGGAAGTGTAGTGTATCTTTTAGGGTATGCTGCTCAGAGCGAGCTCAAGATTGGTGAGGGGAAGTTAGTGGTAGCTACAGACAATCTCATCAAACTATCTACTGATGAAATGGTATGGAGTCCTGGATCAGCTGGGTTTGATGTTCAAGGGAATCTGGCATTCATGATCTGTGATCCGAGGAAGTTAGCTACATCACCAGCCTCAACTTCGACATCTTCCTCTTCATCGTTGAAGAAGGAAAGCAACAAGACGTTGATGATGCAGTTTGGTATACCGATGCCTGTGATATGTGACTGGCTGAATCAGCATTGGGAAGGTAGTTTGGATGAACATATGACCAAACCTAAGTTGCCTCTTATTAGGTTAATGTCTTCTGGTCAGAAGAGTGAGCGTTCTTGTGCTTCATTCACCATGCGCCCTGTCTTCAAGCCGACTGATTCTGCTGATGTTGGAACACCATCTTCATCTAACGCTAGAGATCAAACTCATCCAAGCTCAGAGAAGGGAGAAGAAGAAACCTCAAATAACAATCCACAAGGAAGAACTACTACTACTACTCATGCACAGGGCATCCCAACCCCTGAGATATATGAATCACCAAAGTTAACTTCAAGCCCTTTAAGAAAGGAGTCTAGTCAACAAGTCCATCTTTTGGATATCAACTTCCCGCCACGTGTACCTAAGGTTCCAACCTTTCTTCCTCAGCTCAACTATCCACAGAGTAACCATATGGTGGAAGAGGCTGAGATTGCCTCTCAAGGATCAGATGCGCAGATTGCTTCAACAGGCTCAGTGAACGGCGCTCTCAGTGAGGTCATATCAAGCTCACCGCCACCAGAACCTCACTATGTATATCACAATCATGGATACAGCAGCGAGGAAGAGACAATGTACTCTGCAGAAACAGCTGAGAGCCGAAACTATCCAACTCCACCAGCGAAAAGTCATGAGAGAGTTGGAAGAAGCCAAAGCTGTGTGAGCTCCAGCAACAGATGGGGGACACCTCAGAAGAGTTTGAGTGGTAGAAGAGCAATGCTGGAGAAACAGAGAAGCTTTGTCCATGGGAATAAGATGTTGCATTCACAAGGAGCAACCTCCCAGAGGAGTAATGACTATTACAGCCCAACGGTCTCATCAATCATGAAGAAAAGGAATAATAGTACAGAGAAACCGATTTTCAAACCGGTGCCTAGACCTAGAGCTGCTAGTCCTTCTTCACAGAGATGGATGTTCTGAGATGGATACAGACAAGAGAAAGAGCCAAACACCTTCTTTGATAAAAAGAGAGACATCTTTGTTTAAAATTTTGATGTCTTGCATTTCTTGTACTACTAATTTGATTTCAAACTCTTGTGCAGACATATTGAAGAGACGTTACAAATAGAAAACATACAGTGTTGCAGTGTTTGGGGTTAAGCCCCCAAAAGCATTCTGTGATTTTAAATTCCTTGGAAGTTAAAAAAAAAAAAAGCTTTTATTTCTCGCTATCAGATCACAAGGCTTGTCGTTTCCGTAAGTCCATGGAGGAACAATCCAACGAGAATTTCCCCAAACAAATATCATCCACTAATGGCTAAGCTAGAGACCAAAAAACATGGCCGTGAGAGTGACACCTTAAGAACAAACTTATCTGTTACATTTATATATGTTAAGAGTAAACGGTGGACCAATATGGATATGCCAATTCACTGCCTTCTTGCTTATACTGATTTAACAGATAATAAGTAATACAATTATAAGTAAGGGAGACTCGTAATAGCGCAATGATGTAGAATGCTTTCTTAAGATTCAACGATGTATCTCAACAATAAAGAGTCTAAAAGATGTCCTCACTGGTTCCTAAATGTTTTCTCTCACTAAGCAGAACGATATTAACATTACAGAGGATAAACTCATGAACAAACATGTCTTCACTGTTCTTCCCAAAACCAATCTCCTCAAGGGTAGAGCCGTTAGACAATTTTAAACCCTGCAAAGAAAGATGAACATAACACCAAAAATCAGAACACTAAAGGATTCTCGTTTTCAAAATTAGCTAAGACTTTACTTACTTGTGATGTTTCTGTGTATCACTCATCTGGTGCTTGGGAGGAAGACACGAATGAGGTCTTTAGCAATGACCTTTTTTCTACACGTAGGGCATTTAGGTTGACCAGACACCGCGACCCTTATGCATTTGTTGCAGAAGATATGACCACACTTTGTTGACACTTCCTCGGTAAATGGACTCATACAAATTGGGCAGTTAAACTTTGGTTCCTCTTCAGGAGGTGCTACGGTCTTAGACTTTCTCTAAACAAGACATTGACAAAAACTGGTAAGTCTAAGGTTCCCAACTTCAAAACTAAAGTGAACACATCTCACCGGATTGCTAAGCTCAGCATTAGCTTCATCACATTGACGCTTTGTGCGGTTCTTGCTAAGCCTAGTGGTACCACCTGAAACTCATACCATTATACACTAACCAAAGTGAACAAAAGAAACACTTTTCACACCACAAAAATGTTAACCGTTTTGAGTTCTTGAGTTACTCACCTGACTCTACATCAACTACTAAGGGTCCTCGCCGCTGTGAGCCTCCGGACTTGTGTCTTTTAGCCTGACAACAAGAATGAAACAGAATCAGTAAATCTTGTACACAAACACCATGTATTGTAAGAGTGGGAACAAGAGTATACTCGATCAAAAGCAGAAGCAGTTGACTCAACAACATCATCATCATCTTCAATAGCATCAACATCAATCGTAGGAGGTCCAGGCACAGTAAAAGGCAACACTGAAGGTTGTCCAGATCTTTGTTGATCTCCCTGATGTTGGCTTGGTGTCTCATTCACATTGTTCACTTGTTGTGTCCTCCTTGAGCTTCTTGTAACTACCCTCTCACTCCGTGCACTCATACTTAAAAGTTAAAACCACCTTAATTAGACCTTCTGCAATAACAAAACAAAAGATCAAAGCTTTTGTCACATTCAGCATAGCATAATTCAAGAAACGGTTAAGAAACTAAGCCAAAGAAACTAAACCACCTTAATTTGAGTCACTGATACTGATCAGAGCAAACAATAACAAAAAAGATCAAAGCTTTTGTCAAATTCAGCATAATTCAAGAAACTGTTAAAGAAACTAAACAGAAGCTAAAGATAGAGAAATCAATCGACAGATCCAGAAACAGAGAAGCATAAAACCGGAAAAAGGTTGTACCTTTTGATATGGACGATGAAGTGTGTGCAGAGAGAAACGAAGGGGTTTGATTTATAATCACAAAAAGGTTTGAACTTTAAATGGTAGAGAGCACACTGAATCAGTGGTTTTGGATATGAGATATGAATGATACAGTACACAGACTTTTTGTATTCGTTGCTGCCTTCTCAATTTAAAACCAAAAACAAAAAAAAAAAAGGTTTGTACTTTTTGCTTTTGATTTACGTGCTAACCCCGTACTGTTATTCGTTTGAGTTTGACTCTTCTATTAATCTCTGTTGGTACTCAGGTACTGATGAATCTTAACTACGACTGTGTTGAATCTTAACTACGACGCAGACTATATACCACAATATGACCAAGGCCCGTTATGCTTTTGCTGAGGTCAGTCTTATAATTTTATTGGCAAAAAAGCCTTCTTCTTGGGCAATGTCTTTTTTTTTTTTTTTATAACATCAGCTTTATTAAATTAGTAACTTGAGTTTACATAATCCTCATGTAAAACACCAGTTAAATACTGAGACACATAATAATGAAACACAAAGTTTTCTTCATCCGCAAGTCGTTGTACCAATCGATCAGCCACCTTATGGGCAATGTCTATAGCAGTAGTCAATAAGGTAATTTGAATCTATAACAAAAACAAAAATTATAATTATAATCAGTCAAATGACCATAACAGAGATGGTTAGAATATAACCTTCACATTATTTTTAATTTATATATCACTCCTACATCTATGCATGTGTGATATTTTTTTTCCTGTTTTTTTTTTCTTTCTTCTTTTCGCCTCCAATTTCAATTCTCTTAAATTTACTTCTAAACAATTATTTAATTTTATAAAATATTGTAAAAAACACATATTTTTTCCACTTACAAAATTAATTTATATTTTTGAGAAGAAAATATTTTAAAGCTTTGAAACTTTCTATGTTCAATGAAAATCATACTATATCATTGAATATTCTAAAATAATGTATTAAACAATTATTCAAGTCATAAGTGTCATACGGGGATGAAATTACAAGAATGACGTGTTGTTTTTTAGAGAGAAATAACTGACCGAGTGAAGCACTTTTTAAAGTAAGAGCTTCCATGACTAGCTTGGTTGCCACGTCTAATAGATCTCATGCGATCAAAATATCCTCCAATTTGCGTGGAGAGATGAATGAGAATCGAATGCAATTGCTGAGAGATCCCATTATCTCCTGCTTCTCTTCAAAATCTGAGAAATGAACTTCTGTCTAGACATCAGTGCATCATACACAAAATCTTCACTAGGAAGAGATGATTGCTCGAGGAGATGGCTTCGATATTGAGAAACGGAAGCGACATGATCTCTTCTGTCGGATTCCTACACAAAGTATAATTTTTTAGAAAAAAACAGAAGTAGAAAATTACACCGTCCAAAGAATGATATTAATTTCTTACTCGTTTAAGTCTCTATAGTGAGAAGCTATTAATTTCTGAGAAGCAAGAATGAGCGGTTTGACTGCAATCACCATCAACGAATTCCAGTACTAGTTCATCTTATAGTTTCATAGGGAAGGTGAGTAGCTCGTAGATACACTAGGATACACAAGAATCAACAATGTACTTATCTACGATCAAAAGAAGTTCCAAGAAGTCTCGCGATTCTGTTAAAATAACATTGTTCTTGTAGATGAAATCAAGTAACTACAATACAATATCATCTTTTGCAATTAAATTTCATGATTACAAAACAAAAAGATAACTAACTGTTGGAAGAATACCATGTGGTTAAGTGGTCAAAGATGCTTCAGATTTGTTCATCTCCATCATTTATTCAATAATACATGACCAATCCAAAGTAATGATTGATGATTCAGCTATTCATATTCACAAAATCCTAGTGAAACAACAAGCAATGATCAATCTTCAAAACTGTTGTTGGTGTGATTGATTGCTAGAAGACAGTCATATTGTCCAAGAACAATGTTCACAATAATATTGCTCAAAAATTGTACTCTTAAATGCTTGTATTCAAGTTACTTTCAAAAACTAAACTTCATGATACTTCTAAAAATTTTTGTTATGTCCATTGAATAGTATCTCATGGTAAAGTGTCAAACCATGATTACTTTACATATTTAAAGTTTCAAAATCCATGATTATTCGTTATGCATAACTCTGACTTTAGCTTTAAGAGTTTTTGTCAACATTATACATTGCAGTGTGATTGATGAATAATCTTAAGATACTTTGAAAATTTCAAGTTTATGTATTGATGTTTGTATATCGAAGAATTAAAGTAACATTCAATTGTTTTAGGATTTTTTTTGTAGCTTCGCAAACTTTTTGTTTTAGTGAATATAACAAACTTTCGTGTATGCTATACTATTTGATTATGATCAAACAAACTATTTCCATAAATTTCATGTTTGGACTTTATATACATCTTCATATGAGGATAAAATTGGTAGAAAAAGACTTGCTTGAATTTCTTTTATACGTAAATTTTTTTATAAGATTGATTAACAAAGATTTTTGTAAGAATCAATTAGCAAAGAGAATCATAAACATAGCACAATCATATAATTTGAGCATTTATCCCGACTGTTATACTATTTGATTATGATCAAACATACTATTTTCATAAATTTTATGTTTGGACTTTATATCCATCTTCATTTGAGGATATTGGTAGAAAAAGACTTCCTTGAGTTTATTTTATATGTAAATGTTTTTACGAGATTGATTAACAAAGTTTTTTTTTTGTAAAAATCGATTAGCAAAGAGAATATGAGATTGATTAACAAAGTTTTTTATATAAAAATCGATTAGCAAAGAGAATCATAAAGGTAGCATAACCACATAATTTGAACATTTATCCCGACTGTTATACTATTTGATTATATACATCTTCGTATGAGGATAACATTAGTAGAAAAATACTTGCTTGATTTTCTTTTATACGTAAATGTTCTTATGAGATTGATTAACAAAGATTTTTTTGTAAAAATTGATTAGCAAAGAGAATCATAAACTACATAGCACAATCACATAATTTGAGCATTTATCCAAACTGTTTTTCCTAGCTTCCACACATTGATAAAAAAAAATTATACAAGGAACGCCGTCTGTGGGGATCGAACCCACGGCCACGGGATTAAAAGTCACGCGCTCTACCACTGAGCTAAGACGGCTACTGAACAATCATCTCAACTAATTGTTTACGAACGCAGTTTACAGGAAACGACAAAACCAACGCACTAGTAGAGCCGAAGTGTTCTGGGCATCTTCAACTCTCACGAAGCCGATGGAAGAAACCGGAATCACGCCGGACTTCGATCCGAAGACCATGCGTTCTTCAAAACCCGGATTAAAGCGCCTCCTCCTCACCACAACCGTACTCTTCTCCTTCCTCTCAGGCCTCCCGTTTCTCTGGAAGTCAGTCGAAATCCACCGATCTCAATTACCTTTCCACGACATCGACACACTTTCCGATCAAATAAAGTCGCCGCCTTTACGCTTCCCCTGCAGCTTCCACGCCGTATTCGTCGGGTTCCAAACCACCCATCCGGGTCAATTACGATCCGAGATACAAAACGGTATCAATCAGTTAACCCGGGGAAGTTCACAACAGTGTGGTTCTTGTAATGTTTCAGTCTCTGTAACTGTTCAGAACCCAGATGAGCATTGCTCTGAGGCTCTTGGTACTGATCATGGAATGTGTTCGTATCGTTGTGGAGTGATTAAAAGAGATGTCTTTGATGATGAGTCGTTGGATGATGTGTTTGGTGGTTGTGATGGGGAGAGTGGTGGGAAGATGTATAGTGTTGTTGTGGTGAATAAGGAGAAGGGTGATGGTGGAGATGAGGTGAGAGCTGTGGTGGGGAAGAGGAGGCATGCGTGGATTGTGGGGAGTGGGTTGGAAGAGAGGTATGGAGAGGTGGTGGGGAGAGTTTCTGAGGTTTTTGTGAAGGTGTTTATGAATGGTGGAAGGGAGGTGGATTCTATTCAGGGGGAGTTTATGCCTGTGGGATCAGATGGGAAGCTTGTTCTTTCTTTTAGTCTATTGAATTCTAATCCACGTGATTGGATCTATGATTGGTATGATCAGAGTGTTGTGCTTTCCCACAGATATTGCAAGGCCATTATAACATTTACTTACCAGTGATTTGTTGTCTGTGTGATATGTTTGACAGGGACTTTCAGAGGATAGACGAGGCATTGTTAGCTCCTGTGACTAAGGCTTTAGCACCAATAGCTAATATAAGTGTTGAAAGTCAGGTACTATTCATCACCAGACCGGGACCTTTTGCATCTTTGTTATTCTCTCATGCTGATGTTTTATGGTTTTCTGTTCTTAGGTTTTGTATCATACACCCAAGTCATCGTTTTCATCTTGGGATGAAAAACTTCAGAGCTACATCTTTAGGACCAGTGATCTTCCTTTCTTTGTACGTGCCCTTTCTCAAAGTTTTTATGAATAATTTGGATACTACTGATGGTGTTACGGATTTATTATCTTGAATGGTTTCCCCTAGGTGAACTCGAATGAATGGCACTTGGATACTTCTGCTGGAGCCAGTGGACGGTCCAAAATACTGCAATTTGTGGTGTATATTACTCTACTCTACCCATGCTTGGTTGTTATGTTGTTTGATACTGTGATTACTCTATACTGTTTCCTGATAAACTGAGCAGGAATATTTCCACATATGTATCTCAACGCTATGATCTTTCCTCGTATTATCAGATATATTCCATCTGGAAAGGAATGCCCTCTTCACTTGCAGTTGCCAAATGGGGAGATATCTAAAACAAATGGTTTCATATCACCGGTTAGTTGCTATCTTGTTCTGCTAATCTGCTGGTAGACCTTTTCTTCTTCTTTTTGAAAGCGAGGTCATCTTGTCATTTTGTTCTATAGATGTGGGGTGGTGTGATTGTATGGAACCCTGAAAAGTGTGATAAGGACTCTGAAAGCCCAAGCAGGAACATGATCTCGCCTCAGGTCCGGTTCACCATTCATATTCATAGTTTGCTTTACATCAACTATATATTGATTAATGATATGTTGAGTGTATTTGGAGAGCCTTGGAAGATATCTGAAACATCATATTTGGTTTTGCATTTTCTGAAACAGGATCTAGAGCAAATAGTTGAAGTTTTCTTGGGGCAATTCCGACAACTTTTTGGTTTTAAGTCGGAAGCTACTTACACCAGTGAATTGGGAAGTTACAAGATTTTACCTAGTGAAAGAGGCTTTACAGAGTGGTAAGAATATGATAAACCCCAGTATTGGTTGTGTCTCGCTATCTGTGATGCTTATCTATGAATATTGGATGTTACTACTTAAAGCAATGGATGCTCAGGAGCTATGGATATTGATGAGTGTTGTCTTTCTCGATGTTTGCATTTGCAGGGAATTGGATGTCTTGTCACGGAAGCACACGTGTTTCAATCTCCACTCTTGTGCAACAACCCTCGGCTCTCTTTCGAGATTGGTACGTGATTAAGTCACATGCCTGGTTATAGCCCGTTCGTCTCAGTTTTTCTAATTTCATTACTTGGCACTTGCAGGTTCAGTCACTCCCCAGGATGATAATCAAGGATGAAATTGGAGAACAAGTATATTTCTCATCTTGAACTTTTCTGCAAATTATTATATTCTGAACATTTCCATTGGTTTCTTTCAAACCATTAGGTCAAATATTCTCTGAAAGCAGCAAAGTTGGCTCAATCCAATGCCTCTCTGGGTGGATACAGTTCTTCAGCCAGTATGTTACACTTGAACCTATACTCACTATTCTCTGTTCTAGACCTTAATGTTGGTAAACTCTAACAAGAAGTTGCGGTTCTGTGTTCTGTAAAGGTTCATCAAGAGAAGCAAGGTCCCTAGCGGAGAATGCCTTTTTCCATCCATCTATCATGTCCGTCAGCTACTTCTCATACGAACATTGCTTTGCGGTGTACTCGGTTAGTTTCATGATCTCTACCACCGTTATCATTAGATTAGCATCGTCTCTTTTCTCGTGAGGCTCATGTGTTCTTACTTTCTTGGACAGCCGTTTTTCCTGCCTGTTACTGGCCACGTTCTTCTTGCAGCACTACGGGAATGGAAAAGATACAAACAAGAGAAGGCAAAGTACTTGACATGGCTAACCAGAAAGAAGACGGCCTAGGACACTGTTGTCACGTTGAACACTAATGTAAACCCTTTGCATTTTTGCAGATCATGTAACTTGTAAACTTTTGGTTGTTTGAATTCAAAATTAAGCAACAGCATTGTAGCAGAGAAGAGACCACAGATTTGTTGACTGATTAACTTTCTGAGTTTTCCTACGCTTTTGCATTGTGTTTTAATCTCAAAAGCTTTTCATACATCAAAAGTGGCGCAAATCAGCAGTGTTTGTTTCACTATATTTAAAGACTACAGATGTCTACCGCCAAAATTCTAAGCTCTTGAAATGGGCAGATACAGAAAAAATAAGAGAAAAAGAAAGCCAAATCTGGAATCATTACGACAATATCTTAATGCAACGACTTCTGGAGACAGTTCAGCTGAGCTTGAAGCCGTTATGTAGAGACACAAGACTATTAGCGTTTGGATCCCAAAGCAAGAAGTATCTTCTTCCTCGGGCCCTGAAACAAAAACATAGCTTGTGAGAAAAGAGCAGAAAGATGCTGAACAAAGAGTTATGAATGTAGTCTTATAAGTAGCACTTCTTGTCACAGATCAACTAAACTGAGAGATTGACTTTATCCAAAATTTGTGGACAGACTAATATAAAGCATAGTGGGAGCTTACCATTGGTATAAGCATAGCCTTGAGGTCATCATCTGTCATATGCATGAGAGCATCCATATCAACCTGAGAAATATCAAAAAAAGAATAAGAACATGAATCTACGACAAGATGACACCAAGCATAACGTATAATTCAACCTACAAACAAACATTACATACCTCTTCCACTTTAAAAGCAGTCGAATATTTCTCGAGACCCAATGATTCCAGAAAGCTATCAACCGATCCACCAGCCTGAACCAAAAAATAACAAGCTAAGAAACAGTAGAATAGTTTCCTCCCAAGATATAAGTATCATAAAAAAAATAGAGTCGGAAAAAAAAGTGAATCATATTGCCTGCTGTGATTTCTTCCTAGTAGCTTTAACCTCTGTTGCAGTATCAGTCGCTACACTCTTCATGCTTGTTCTAGCAGTCTCCACTTTAGACTTTACCGGGTGGTCACTGTTCTTTGGTTGCACATTCATTGTCCCAGAGAGCTTTTCACGTAAATCCCTCACACCTGAACAAGCTTCCCGCCCAGTTTTAGACCCATCATTTCTCTTCTGGAGCTTCAAACGAAGATCTCTCGGATCAACTCTCCGACCTTAGCAAGTCATCATACAAAATAATCAACAACCAAACATAGATAAACACCTTTCTCACACATACTTAGTTTCTCCTAAAGAGAATTGGTAAGTGAGAAAGAGTAAAAAAAACATACTTAAGAGTTGAGGTTTGTCACTACTGAATAGATCATGCTCCCATTTATCGTCCTGCCTTTGCCTGAAACCATAAGGAAGACATTATAAGAAGAATATAAACTATTCCACAACACAAAACCAAACTCAAAGATTCAAAGAGTCCTTCCTAAGCTAAACTAAATACACAAATTCAAAGAGCTAAGATCATAATGTAGCTAATAGCTAATCTAATACACAAGAGGAGCTAACAACACTATATAGAATCCTCGAAGAGGAATAGATTAGAACCTCTTCCCAGTAACTTGACGCGAGCGAGTAGAGTTATCGCCAGAACCGCCATTGATTCGATCCTTTACCGTGTTCCTGGTTCCAGACTCAGACTCCAATCTATCAGCATACATCTTTCTTCTTCTTGGATGAAAAAGCACTGATTTTTAAAATCCTAAACCCTAAATTAGGAAACCCTAGAAAGCGGAAAAGATCCTTATAGAAACCCTAGAATCATCAATCACAGCGAAGGAAGACAGAGCTCTCGAACAGAAGTAACTCGACGAGTTTTGATTTTTGAGGAGGATCTACGTCAAGAGAACTCGTCTTACCGGGTCAGGTTGGGTTCGTCGGGTCGGGTTAAAATCCTGATTAAAACTGACCGGTTATTTAAAATCTATCTGCGATTTAGCCGGTTTAATCTGAAAGACTTTACGGTACGGTCTTGCCAACGTGGTTCGATTGATTTTCCTTAATTCAGAATCAGTCTAAGTGCCGGTTCGGGTCAAGTCGCGTTTAAATCAGGATTAAACCGGTTTTGACCGAGAGAATTATTAAAATATCTATCAGCCGGTTTAGTCCGATTGATTTTTCTTAATTTGGATTTAGTCACGTGCCGGTTCGGGTCAAGCATTGAAATCAAGGTTAAACTGATTTTGACCGAGAGAATTATTGAAATATCTAGTTGAGATTTAATCGGAGTAATCCGATCGGATTTCCTTAATTTCGGATTTAGTAAAGTGTCAGTTCGGATCAAGTCGCGTTTAAATCAGGACTAAACAGATTTTGACCGAGAGGATTATTAAAATATCTATTTGAGATTTAACCCCGTTAGTCCGATTGATTTTTCTTAATTCGGATTCAGTCAAGTGCCGGTTCGGATCAAGTCGCGTTTAAATCAGGACTAAACCGGTTTTGACCGAGACAATTATGAAAATATATATCTGAGATTTAACCGGACTAGTCCGAAACACTTTTCCAACGCGGTTCACTGACTTTCCTTTTTTTTTTTTTTTTATCGTCAACACGCTAATTTAAAAAAGACATCGCTTCCTTCGTTGTAATGGTTTTGTAAAAGAACAAAAATCCCTAAAAAACTTTTGAAAGAGAGAGAGAGGGAGCTAGCATTCAACCTTTGTGCGCTGATTCTTCCATGACTGATCCGATTCTGCTCAAACTCCATTTCTAGTGTTTCTGATTCGGTAACTCCTCCCTCTGATTTTCGACTTGTGTTGGTCGTGTCTTTGTTGATTTCACTTGTTTCCATCCTCTCGACGAAGCTCAGATTCGAGATCCATATTTTTTTTATTTCCTTTCGTTGATTACAACTAGTGTCACGTTAATTCGTTTGTTCTCTGTAAGTCACGGTCCGTAAATTTGCATTGTCCGTTACGGCTAGGTCACTTGTCTGAAACTGATTTGTATGTGTCACGTTGGTTCGTATGTTCTATATATATCTTACGGTCCGTAAATTTGCATTGTCCGTTACGGCTAGGCCACTTGTCTGAAACTGATTTGTATGTGTATCGTCGGATTAGTTCCACTTGCTTATATGTTTTTTTTTCTTTGGTTTAAAGCTGCTGAGATTTTTATTTTTATTTTTGTGTAAGGTAAAAAAAATGTCTCGAGCGGAGTCGTCTTGGGAGCGGCTTGTAAATGCTGCGTTACAAAGAGATAGAGCTGGGGGAGCTTCTGGTGGTGCTCCTGGTCAGGGGAGCCTTATGGAATATGTTCCTTCGTCACTGGCCAATAACAGGGACATAGATGCTATTCTGAGAGCTGCTGATGAACTTCAAGATGAAGATCCCAGCATCGCTAGGATCTGTAAGCTATTTTTGTTGTTGTTGTTGCTTTTGGTAGTTTATTTAGGTTTTTTATTTTCTCTGTGTAACGCCACTGTTTGTGATCTTCTTCTTAATGGTTTTTTTTTGCTGTGCAGTGTGTGAACATGCTTACTCGCTGGCGCAGAATCTTGACCCGAATAGTGAAGGAAGAGGTGTTTTGCAGTTTAAAACCGGATTGATGTCTGTTGTTAAGGTATGTTTCTTTTCTTTTTGTTTAATTTTCCATAGTTTTGCTTCTTAATTCACTGTTCTGCCTTGGTTTATTTCAGCAAAAATTAGCGAAAAGGGAGGTTGGGACTATAGACAGGAGTCAGGATATTAAACGGCTGCAAGACTTCTACAGGCTGTACAGAGAGAAGAACAGTGTTGACACGCTGAAGGAGGACGAAAAGCAGCTCCGTGAGTCTGGGGTCTTCACTACAGAGTACGTCTATCAACAGTAGAACACATAATATCTGTTCATTTTGTATCCTGGCTATAATGGTTGAAGCCCAAAATAACTCAGATATCTTTAATTGCTGTCTAGGATGGAGCGAAAAACCCTAAGAAGGAAGAGAGTGTTTGCCACTCTTAAAGTTCTTGGAAATGTGTTGGAGCAGGTTTCGAAAGAGATCCCTGAAGAGGTTGTGTACTTTTCCTTCTGTTACTCTAAATTCTTTTTTTTTGTCAAAGTAAGGTCTGTAGAATGCAAGCTAATAATCATCTATTTTTTGTGTCAACAGCTAAAGCGTGTTATTGATTCTGATGCTGCAATGAGTGAGGACACAATTGCTTACAACATCATTCCCCTTGATGCTCCTGTCACGGCAAATGCCATTACGTCTTTCCCTGAGGTGAGATATTTTCCTATTTTCCACAAACCAGATGCGTCTATTGTATGTGGTTTGTCTTGATTTATGACAATAAAATTTGAGCAGGTGCAAGCAGCAGTTGCAGCGTTGAAGTATTTTCCAGGCCTGCCAAAATTGCCTGCTGATTTTCCCATTCCAGCGACAAGGAATGCTGATATGCTTGATTTTCTCCACTACATATTTGGGTTTCAGGTTTGTCTATCTGAGAATCTTTTTTTAATTATTAATATCCAGCCTCATATAGCACCGAAGTTTTCTGTTTTTCATTTTATAATATATCAATTGTTATGGCTGCAGAAAGACAGTGTCTCCAATCAGCGTGAACACATAGTTCTTCTTCTTTCTAATGAGCAATCCCGCCTTAATATTCCTGAAGAAAGAGAACCTGTAAGTACCAAAGCTTATTTGATTTTCATATGATTAAATTTCTGTATTAGAAGTAGACTATTCATGATTTTGGCTTTCTTCAATTTGTTATAGCGAAAACTTCTTATTGATTGCTCTTTGTGTGGACTTCTAGTTGACAAAGCTTAAAAGTGAAGTATCTTAATATTCATTCTAGAAAGTAGAAACTTATGCTAGTCATTGTGCAGTGAACCTGATTTTAGCTTGTTTGCCGCTATATTTAGAAAGCAGTGAGCATATTTAGATCTCATGAATAATTTTCTTCTCTTATTTTCTCTCAGAAACTGGATGACGCTGCAATACGTAAGGTCTTTCTGAAGTCCCTAGACAACTACATTAAGTGGTGTGATTACCTGTGCATTCAACCTGCATGGAGCAAGTAAATTAGCCCCTCTTCCTTGTCTTTCCTGCTACCACTCTTGCTTGCTCACTTCGATTTTTGTAACATGCAGTCTAGAGACCATCAGTGGAGAAAAGAAACTACTATTCCTCTCTTTGTATTACCTGATTTGGGGTGAAGCTGCTAACATACGGTTTCTTCCAGAATGTTTGTGCTACATATTCCACCACGTAAGTTTTATACTGAACGCTTATCTTTCTTTACACGTTTTCATATTCTACCAGGAGTCTCTAGTGTCTCACTGTCTCTTCCTTGATTCTGTTCTTATATGAATCGCCCAACTTTCTGAATTGGTACTTGTTCTTTGCTAGTTTTACTATAATATGTGGTCATTTGATATTTTTTGTTTATTCTGATTTTTTTCTATAGATGGTAAGAGAAATGGATGAGATATTGCGCCAGCAGGTTGCTCGCCCTGCTGAGAGCTGTATGCCAGTCGATAGTCATGGCTCTGATGATGGGGTATCATTCCTTGATCATGTCATTGCTCCACTGTATGGAGTTGTATCGGCGGTATGTTCTCTAGAGTATTCTTTCACCCCTGGACTTTTAGGGAGTTTCATTTCTCTGTTCTCTTCATGATTACTGTCGTAGTATTTTCTTTGATCCCACATTACTGCTTCTTATTAGAGAAACGTACATTAATAAACTTATTTTCTACATTAAAGAACTTTTGCTATTCTGCTCCGTCACTAGTGATGATTGGGTTAGACGGTTAGTCTCTACTACTGTTTTTAGTTGTAATGCCTGGAATATTCATATCACTCTTTTGGTCAATAAACATTGAATTTTGTTTTATTGTGTTACTTGAGGGGGTAATTACATGTTTGTGTGTGTATTCATTCAAGATGTGGACATATGTTTCATAGCATGTATATTTGTAGATACAATCCGTGGTAGTTGGTTTTCAGTTCAGATGTCCTGTAAAAAGAGGATTACGCCTTCGCACGTATAAATATTCTTTTAGAACTGTGTTGTTGGTTTTGATATAATAGTCATGCTAAGAAATGTGCTCTGTGCAGGAAGCTTCTAACAATGAAAATGGCCGAGCACCTCATTCAGCTTGGAGAAACTATGATGACTTCAATGAGTATTTCTGGTAAATTTTAATATCTTTGTTGATTGGGTTTACTCTCCTTCTCTTTGCTGGCTGATGGTTTTGATTTTCCAGGTCGCTTCACTCCTTTGAGCTTGGTTGGCCATGGCGAACGAGTTCATCTTTTTTCCAGAAACCTATACCGAGAAAAAAGGTCTGCAATGGCCCCTCATAGTAGAATTTTGTGTTCATAATAGTTTGTTGCTTCTTTGGTGAGATGACTATCAAATGAAAAAAAATTATATTATATACTATTGGTAGAACCCTCGTGATGGTAATTTTTTAAACATCTATAGTTCAGCTCCTAACCATGTGTTAGAGGTTGATCTTGAAGTTATGTTGGCATGTTTAGTCTTTCTATTATATTCATTTACTTTACTCGTTAGTAAATAGGTTCATAATTTCTATTTATCTAAAGACGTTGACGTTCAGTCCGGTTGTGTGTTTCGTTCAAGATCTAGATAGACTTTTTTTCCCACACAGGCGTATCTGATGTTAATATACTGGTTTTATCCTTGCAGTACGATCTTAAAACCGG